GTTCAAGACTTGGAATGCCAAGTCTTGAAAGAAAAATGTAAGGTTTCAGAACTGTGGTGGATGCCAAGTCTTGACAATCATGTTCACTTGTGTTCACGTCTTGGAAAACCAAGTCATGAAAGTTCTTATTTGGGTCTAATGTTCCAATTCTTTACCCCGAAAAGTTTGAAGACTTGGAAAGCCAAGTCTTGAATAGTGCAATCATTGTCAAGACTTGGGGACATGGAGTTGCCCAAAAATGTAGCAGTTCAAGACTTGGAATGCCAAGTCTTGAAAGAAAAATGTAGGGTTTCAGAACTGTGGTGGATGCCAAGTCTTGACAATCATGTTCACTTGTGTTCATGTCTTGGAAAACCAAGTCATGAAAGTTCTTATTTGGGTCTAATGTTCCAATTCTTTACCCCGAAAAGTTTGAAGACTTGGAAAGCCAAGTCTTGAATAGTGCAATCATTGTCAAGACTTGGGGACATGGAGTTGCCCAAAAATGTAGCAGTTCAAGACTTGGAATGCCAAGTCTTGAAAGAAAAATGTAAGGTTTCAGAACTGTGGTGGATGCCAAGTCTTGACAATCATGTTCACTTGTGTTCACGTCTTGGAAAACCAAGTCATGAAAGTTCTTATTTGGGTCTAATGTTCCAATTCTTTACCCCGAAAAGTTTGAAGACTTGGAAAGCCAAGTCTTGAATAGTGCAATCATTGTCAAGACTTGGGGACATGGAGTTGCCCAAAAATGTAGCAGTTCAAGACTTGGAATGCCAAGTCTTGAAAGAAAAATGTAGGGTTTCAGAACTGTGGTGGATGCCAAGTCTTGACAATCATGTTCACTTGTGTTCACGTCTTGGAAAACCAAGTCATGAAAGTTCTTATTTGGGTCTAATGTTCCAATTCTTTACCCCGAAAAGTTTGAAGACTTGGAAAGCCAAGTCTTGAATAGTGCAATCATTGTCAAGACTTGGGGACATGGAGTTGCCCAAAAATGTAGCAGTTCAAGACTTGGAATGCCAAGTCTTGAACAAAAGGTGTTAGATTTCAGACCTGTGGCTGCCAAGTCTTGACAATCATGTTCACTTGTGTTCACATCTTGGAAAACCAAGTCATGAAAGTTCTTATTTGGGTCTAATGTTCCAATTCTTTACCCCGAAAAGTTTCAAGACTTGGAAAGCCAAGTCTTGAATAGTGCAATCATTGTCAAGACTTGGGGACATGGAGTTGCCCAAAAATGTAGCAGTTCAAGACTTGGAATGCCAAGTCTTGAAAGAAAAATGTAGGGTTTCAGAACTGTGGTGGATGCCAAGTCTTGACAATCATGTTCACTTGTGTTCACATCTTGGAAAACCAAGTCATGAAAGTTCTTATTTGGGTCTAATGTTCCAATTCTTTACCCCGAAAAGTTTCAAAGACTTGGAAAGCCAAGTCTTGAATAGCGACATCATTGTCAAGACTTGGGGACATGGAGTTGCCCAAAAATGTAGCAGTTCAAGACTTGGAATGCCAAGTCTTGAAAGAAAAAAATGTAGGGTTTCAGAACTGTGGTGGATGCCAAGTCTTGACAATCATGTTCACTTGTGTTCACGTCTTGGAAAACCAAGTCATGAAAGGTCTTATTTGGGTCTAATGTTCCAATTCTTTACCCCGAAAAGTTTGAAGACTTGGAAAGCCAAGTCTTGAATAGTGCAACCATTTTAGTACATGGTTGTAAAATGTTAGGAGGGGTTTAAAATTGGAAGTGAAGAACATCATTTCCAACACTTGAAGGCCAAGTATTTCAATATATCATTCTTGGGCTCCAGACTTGGAGTTCCAAGTCGTGAGCACAAGACCAATCTTTACCACTCTGGATACCCAACAGGAAACATAACAAGCATCAAAGTACAGAACAGCTTGTTTGCAAGTTTTCAGGCTCGGGGTTATAGCAAGTGTTGAAACCTATGGTTTAAAAAAAGTCGCAAAGACCAACTTCATTGGTGAGCCAAGCCAGAAAACCTTGCAACAAAAACCCAAGTCTTGAGCTTGAAGACTTGGACGGTCAAATAGTTACCAAGATGGGTCAAGTTGAGTTCCAGACTTGGAATGCCAAGTCCAATCAAATCCAGAACTTGGTTCAATGCATTTGGACAAGTTAAGGGTGAACTCTTACCTTTTTATTTCAAAACTTGGGATTCCAAGTCTTGAAAAATGCGTTCATGTCTTGAAAGACCAAGTCATGAAAGGACAAAAAAGTAATACTGATACAGCCAAGTTCTGAACCATGTTAATGGTAACTACCATGAATCAATCATCTGTGAAAGACCTGGGAGGTGTAGCCAATTGAGACAAACATGAGTGGTTGGACTTGGATTCAAGCCTTGAACTTTTGAAGAACTCATTTGCATCACATCGAGAAAAAACTTAAAGTCTCAGTGATCATGTTTGTCAGTGCAAGACTTGAGAGGCCAAGTCTTGAAGTGCATTTAAGATTCACTATTGTGCCAAAACAGTTTCTGGGAGACCGAACCCAAATAGATTTTGCAGACTTGGGAAAGGACCAAGTCTGAATTTCAATGTCAGCTTCCACATTTAAAAATCATCATCAATAACAACATTATATTGAAATTGAAGCCCAAGAGAAGCAAACAAAAAATTATGTTCCTCTTGGACATTTGGAACCTTGAATGGAAATCCCCAAGAGAGGCATGATGGAATGTCCCTCCAAGAGTATGGTTTATCTAGAAGAGTAACAGTGCCCTGTTGGTACAATGTGTTGTCTGTCAAGAGCAGCTAAAGTTCGACACCTTTTTGGTGCAAAGACCATAGTAAGCCAATTCAAACTGTTCCATTGTTACACTAGTCACAACTATTCATATCTAATCATGTCTGCAAATCTGTGAGTGAAACAGTGTGTTTCTGTTTAATTTGGTTGAAGGTTTGCCAATTGAAATCTTATTGCCAAATCAGTCGGTATTTAGGTTCCTATGCAGCTCCATTCCTACAACCAACCACATTTAGGAACCTGATGGTTGGAGCATGCAATCCACTAGAAGTGTATGAGTCTAGTCATGTATATTCAGTGAACAGCCGTAGATCACACCAAGCCCCAAAAATGCAACGCACCAGACAAAAAAAGACTATGCATATAGTCATCCAACTCATTTGTGAAAATAAGAATATGAAAAAATAATAACCTTCTAGAATGAAATTATTCCTGATGAACTCTCACAACATTGAACTGATAGGGAGGTATGTAGTAGGTATTTGCCAGTTGCAAGACAATATTTGTTTTACCCTTTTCTTGGAGCAGATGCAAATTCAATTGCCAAGGCCTGGAATGCCAAGTCTTGGAATTGAATTAATTGGATGTCTCAATTCAATTGCCAAGGCCTGGAATGCCAAGTCTTGGAATTGAATTGGACAGGGGTTGGTAACCGTCCCATTTTGGGAATATTGGACATCACCTTATAGTAGCCATTATAGACCATATACCTAATGGTTGGGTTGTGTTCAATGGGGACATTTAATGACCCATGTTGGATGTCTTATATAATTCAATTGCCAAGGCCTGGAATGCCAAGTCTTGGAATTGAATTAATTGGATGTCTCAATTCAATTGCCAAGGCCTGGAATGCCAAGTCTTGGAATTGAATTGGACAGGGGTTGGTAACCGTCCCATTTTGGGAATATTGGACATCACCTTATAGTAGCCATTATAGACCATATACCTAATGGTTGGGTGATGTTCAATGGGGACATTTAATGACCCATGTTGGATGTCTTATATAATTCAATTGCCAAGGCCTGGAATGCCAAGTCTTGGAATTGAATTGGATGTCTCAATTCAATTGCCAAGGCCTGGAATGCCAAGTCTTGGAATTGAATTGGACAGGGGTTGGTAACCGTCCCATTTTGGGAATATTGGACATCACCTTATAGTAGCCATTATAGACCATATACCTAATGGTTGGGTGATGTTCAATGGGGACATTTAATGACCCATGTTGGATGTCTTATATAATTCAATTGCCAAGGCCTGGAATGCCAAGTCTTGGAATTGAAACCTGTTATTTTAGGGGTTGCAATGATGCCCTTGTTCAGGGCTAGTCCCTTGTTCAGGGACACCAGGACTCGGAATGCCGAGTCCTCTCCCATCCCGGCCCCAGCTGAAGGTTGCTGCAACGGCATCACCTGTCCAGGAAACCTGCAGGTACAAATTACTGGTATTATATCATATATGTTCATGACATGTGTGCATGGTGGTATCAGAAGTGGAAGACAACTGGGGGACACTGGATGGTATTTTATGATTTTATGACTCTTGGTGACATTATATTGGTATCATATGTGCATGACCGTTGATTATTTATATATATATACATACATATATGTATTTATATGTTCATGATACTTGATGGTCATTGGCAGTCTGTGTGTGTATCTGTGTGCTTGTTTCACAATCATGATACTTGTTGTTTGAATTACAGCATGTTTTTTTGTTCTGACCTGCCCCCCCCTCCAGGTTTCAATTTAAGCATGACAACTGTGTGTATGTGTGTGTGTTTAGGTTCAGTAATCATGATACTTGTTGTTTGAATTACAGCATGTTTTTTTGTTCTGACCTGCCCCCCCCCTCCAGGTTTCAATTTAAACATGACAACTGTATGTGTGTGCGTTTGGTTCAGTAATCATGATACTTGTTGATTGAATTACAGCATGTTTTTTTGTTCTGACCTGCCCCCACCCCTCCAGGCTTCAATTTAAGCATGACAACTGTGTGTATGTGTGTGTGTTTGGTTCAGTAATCATGATACTTGTTGTTTGAATTACAACATGTTTTTTTGCTCTGACCTGTCCCCCCCTGTTTCAATTTTAGCATGACAACTTATCCCTAGAAAATGAAAAAAACATGTTGGAAAACCATCCCAAATTGAAAAGCAAAAAAAATAAATGCATTTTTCACCCAAAATGAAACTATCATTTTCAAAAACCAAACTATCACAATCAAAGAACAGAGGTTCCTACTACTCAAGATGAATGACCGTGGCAATGTCAATGTATACCATGGTTGGAGTCTCATTGGTGATGGCTTTCCCAGCAACTTCGACCGTTCCTTGACCAATTCCCTCTGGTTAAATGATTGGGTTCCCAATGTCAACTGGAGAGATGTTGCGCACACATTGCTGACACTGGACTGGAGCCCCGAAGAAGGCATATCATCTTTGCAGGGTCTCCTCAACAAAATTCAGCAGGAGCCTGGTGAGTTCGCATCACTCAATCACCAAGAGGTCTCTCAGATGGTTCACCTTCAGCTGCGTTTGTCCTGCTGCAGAGTTGCCGAAGTCAGAGGGCCTATCAATCAGACCTGTGTCAGGATGCTTGCAGAGTTGCTTGCCTACAAGCTTAAGATCCTGAAGTTTCAAAGTGTTCTGGACTTGAAGACTCAGATGAATGGCTTCGAAGCTGATGCAAATCACCGGGGAACCTTGGTTCTTGTGACAGATCTTCCAGCTTCCACAGGTAAAATCTTCGGTTGGCCTCATCGCATGGTCCTTTGCTACAACGCCGAAGGGCAAAATGCAGCCGCTCTAGAGCGATCCAACAGTGCAAAGGCTGACTAGTCCATGCAACCAGCACACCATCGCCAAGGAAAGCAAGAAAAATGGGAATCAGGGGAAGTTCCCAGGCCTGCCAGCTTGGAATTTTGGAGAAGATATGTGCTCGATGGCAATTGCTACCTTTATACCACTGTTGGATGAACACTGCACATATGAGGCAATCAATGCTGGGCCTATTACAGTAGATGTACATGAATTCCTTGCTTCCTTGCAGGTTTTCTGGGATCGTGTGATTGATGTTGTGTGTGCCATACAGTTTACAGGTGTTCATATTTCTATGTGTCTATGTTGGGGTAAATATACATCTATAATCATCTAATGTACATCTTATATATACAGGTGGACTCGGTGAATGTCACATATGGCCACGAGCGGATATAAATAATGATATGATATATGTAATGATATGTATTATATATCTGGTTGGTGGTTTGGAACATTTTTTATTTTCCCCAATAGTTGGGAATAATAATCCCAACTGACTAATATTTTTCAGAGGGGTAGGTATACCACCAACCAGATATAAAATTAATCGAAACTCGTGGCATCAGCTTGAAAAGTTTGAGATGACTCCAGATCAATCCAGATGACTAGCTGTTGCATGCTGCAATTCTTCGCTGGTTCAATTTCTTTGGATTTGGCATTCGCAGCCTAGCTATGAAAATTGCCAGTGCCAGTGCCGCGGGTTTAGGTTTGCGATTCCAGGGTGTGAGTTCATTGTTTGAGGCATGTGGATACAACGTTCATGGCCCTGCTTTGCAGGAAAAGGCCTGGGTGCATTGCTGTGGGGTGAAGGGAGGGAAACTCATGTGCCATGGAGCTTTTCATTTCTCTTGGTTGCATTGCTTTGGATCTCCTAGTGTCAACAAAAAAGAACTATGTGAACTAGATTGTGAAATGTGTTCCTTTCCGCCGCGAGCACGCGGTAAAATCAACAAATGCTTCCCCAAATTGATTGACTCTATCGCTGCAATTATTCATGAGCCCGACAAGGGGATGGTTTAAGGTTCTATATAAAGACGTCCAATTGCTTAGCCACGGCGAACCTCAAGCCATTCAAGTTTGTCTTATTTTGTGGGGTGGAAACCCAAAATCTCAATATGCTCAATTGAGAAAACCATCGACATCATCGAAATTCAGTATTTAAAAGTGCAAACTCTAAAAAAAGATCGAAGATCATAGAATAGAACATCATAGAACATCATCATAGAAATCTGAAAAACACATAAAAATATAACATAATCGAAAAAAAAAACACATAGATGTTAAATTGTGCCATTAAAATCATAGAACATCTCTGTAAAACTGCCATTCCTTCCAGGTCTTGGAGAGAGTGCAACGAGAGGTGGAGACCTGCGATCACTTGGGCGGCTTTTTGGTGCGCAGAGCGGCAATGGGGGGAGAGGCTGTTTTATTGGTGAAAAACAATGGCAATACTGGTTATATATGGTTATATTATGTTATATTATATATATAGTTATTTTATAGTTATCATGTTAATAATATATATATATATATGTATATATACATATATATATATTACAGTACATGATATCATATACAAAATATAGGTAACATATATACCATAAGACTCTCCAAGTGCCCATACAAATGGGTAGAAAACACTAAACAGGTGGTCAGACAAAAACAAAATGAATGGGTACTTGAAGGGTCTAGGTGGTTCATATTTGGTCAAAACAGGTATGTGCTTCACAGTTGTCAAACAAATATGTTGATTCACCGATAAAACAAACACACATTTTCTTTAAGTTCAAGAAGTCTCCGTGCGGGGTACTTCCAATCGACTGAAATTTGGTCACAGAAGTTAACAGAGCCGCAAAAAGCTGGTATTTTGCTAGTTCACATTCACCACAAAGTAGACATGCATATTTGATCATGTTTCTAGAAGCTAAATGAAACTAGAGTTTCAACGTATTCCATAGCCACTGATACGCTCACCTCAAAGTGCACTTGCTTTAAAGCTCGGAGCGCCAGTGAAGTCCCGTGATACCAGGTCAACGCAAAAGATATTGGTAAATTTGTTAACCTGAAGATAGAAACATGTGAATTTTACTACTTGAGTAGGATTTTGAAAGCAGTTTTTTTTTCTTGGCCTGGACATTTGTTGGATTTGAGCGTCATTTTACTGGCTTCGAATAGCTGCAGCAAATCGGCAACAAAGCTTTGCCATGGAAAGGGTTCCCTTGAACTTCGATTCAACCGTGAACTCCAAGGACCGGTTTTTTGCTGAAAACTGGTGGTGGGCTTTAGGGTCAGCAATTTCAGGAGGGATATAAAGCAACCCCATCAAAAAGTACATTGGAGACCTGGCTTTTCCAGACTTTTCCATCCTTTGGGGGTTACGACCTGCCCAGTACATCCCATGGTCTGGACCTGGCCGCAAGTGGTTCATATTTTGGGTATATCACCCAGAAATCCCATTTCTAGAAACATCCGTCCGGCCATTCTGCATATGATCATGTCTTTAAATTTGATGCATTCTGAATTACATCGATATTTAATTATATATATATGTATATAGTATGTATAATCATATTTAATCATATATAATAATAATAATAATATGATTATATCATATACATCCATCCTGTACTTTTGATTTCAACTCTTGAGGCTATCGAAGTTTCAAACAAACCTCCCATTCACGCATTCTTTGTAAAACCCACCTCAGGTGATATTGGGGATTGTTTATGATTGGGTTTTCCAGATTGTAAGATTGTAAGCTTTTGATGTGTGATCATAGTAATCATCTTTGTTTCATGTTTGTTTTCCAACAACTCAGCCAGGAGAAACTTCAAGCTGGTGTGCAAAGGACACGCCAGCGGTACACCTGCAGGTCGGGTCGGTGGGTCGCCCAACGGGGCGGTGTTTGCTGGTGATGATCCAATACTTCACCGGGGGATACGCCGCTACGCGCATTGCAAGATCTGACCCGGGAATGGAGCTGTCTGAAAATAGGCTACCCCAAATTCGCGTGGTTTATCATCTACTCAATAGCTACGCAGCTACGTTCTTATCATTTTACATTGGTATTTTATGTGGTAAAGCAATAATAAACCACCCAGATTTTGATGGTTTATACAATGTTTATACCACCATGTTAACCACCCATTTGTGGAAACATGGGGGATGGTTTACTAGTGCTTTACCCACATTATTTATCATTATCTCATCTTTTTAGACAGACACAGAGCTGATTTTTGTGGATTGCAACCCAGCTCCTGAGACTGAGGCTGGTGTCTCTTCTGGCTGTGGTTGCCTTGGTCATAGTTCTGATCAGAGGCGTGTGGCAGAGACGTGCAAACATCTGGGCAAATTACAGTGACCTCACTGGTGTCACTGTGACCTTGCTGGAATCATGGTTAGTGAGGGGAATTATCCCAATATAGCCTTATTTCAGGTTAGTGAAATAGTATACAGTTTATCCAGAAACATGGCATATGGAGAGAGTCAAATAGATTGCCGGTTGAATGATGAAATTGCAGTTATATGGTGCATGTATGTGCCTGCAAATTCTGACTAGGACTCCGATATATAAGAAAAGCCTTGCAGATGGTGTGCTCGGAAGCCAGGCAGCCCGAGCTTCCATCAATCCCAGCTACTTCGAGGCTGCAGTCTGGTCGTGAATACTCTGCTTGCTGGTTTCAAATATGTAAACTTAGACCCGTCAGACCCTCCAAGTAGCCATAGAGATGGGCCTTCCAAGGCAATGATGGGGCCGTCGAACTGCCAGGTGGGGGTCTAGGGGCCAAAGTTGCCACACTCTTCGCAAAATTGGATGAGGGAGAAGGAGAACTGCCTTACGACAATCCAGATCCTTGGTGGATACCAGTTTCTATGGAGGAGATAAACCAATTATTCATATAAAAATGGTGGTATTATAAAACTAACCAGATTGGGGATATACTGGGATGACAAACCATATGAAAAAAAGATCTCAACAAGTGGGATGACCGTCACTGATTCAGTTCGGGTTTTTCAACCGTCGGACATTGGGATGATTTCACCACCCAAAAAATGAGGAATGTAATCTTCACAGAGGAAAAGGAGTCCTTATGCAAATGGGAACTTTTTTGTATCAACAAAACGAAGGATGAAACCGGACATTTTGTGGGAATATATGCAATAATATATGATAATATATGCATTAAAATAGTAACCAACAATATGTGGATGATTTTGGATTTATCCTTGACCATGGGGAATATATACCGGATATACCACCAACACATGGCAATACAGAATGGGGAAACTGATCAAACAAGAAATTTTGGGGATGCCCCATGTTCAGATACAGATTGTGTTGACCCCGAAAACTTGAATGCCACTCCTAGTCTCCACAATTTTGTGCTCTAAGTCGTGAGGGTATGCCAGATTTTTCAGGACCCGAAATGCGGCTTGGCAAAAGAGGGATGATCAAGCTGAATAGGATTGTGGATAGGCTACCTGTTGCAGGAAAAAAACATCTCTAGCCTTACAAAATGGCTTTGTTTGAAAAGAAGGTAACCCAAAATCCCATGGTTTATCATCATGTTCCCCGTTTAATTTAATGTGCATTTTATGAAGCATTCCCCCATTTTTGGACAGACCTGGCCATAATTTGAGAAATCGATGGGAGTTACTTCCTGGCTCAAGCCTGTGCCCTAGCCATGCCCTGGCCGGTTGAGAGCCCAAAGTTTTGGCTCAGACATGGTGGCGGGGTTCCGTCCTATGACCTACCAGCCAAGGTCGGTTCACCAAAAGGTTTGCGTTTGAAAGGCCCGGTAGCAATTGAAGATGCCTACAACGAGCTCAGAGATCGAGGTTTCTTGAAGGGACCACGCTTGTTGGAACTTGGCAAGAGTTTTTACGCCGTGAAGTCACATCACGGTGCGTCCCTCCACGGAGTTGTCATCGACGGAAAGGCCAGTGAGAGCACAGCTCTTCATTCCGTGGTGGCGTTGGAGTCGTTGCCCAGGTGCAGAGCATTGCTCCACAAGGTGTTGGATCTACTAGGAGCGATGCCGATGGCTTGTTGAGTTTCTCAACTTGTCGCGAGAATCAACCAAAATCCCTTTGCGTTAGATTTTAGAATATGAAATAATATGAATATGTTGGAAACAACAAGAATCTGAGGCAACTGGTGTTCACATTTTCTGTGAAAAGTGACTCTTTCATCGATGATTTTTCTTGGGGTCAGGGGATCGAAATGGATCGAATGTCCCAGGACTTGACAAGTCAAAGCTGAAAGATTCCTTGGCCAATGGAATGGCTCGGCGCTACAAGCCCGGAAGCAGCCTGCCTCGGCATGTGGAATTCCAGCTGCAGAGGAGTTTGGTTTGTAGAAAAACCCGGGGATGTTGATCAAAAAATCAAAGTTGTAGACATTTAAGTAGACCCAATACATTTAGAAGAACTTCAATGTTTGTTTGGAAGCCATACGTCATACGTATATAGTCAACATTTGTCAAACTGTGTGAATTTGAAGGCTAGTTCGCTACAGAGAGATAGAAGGACTCATCTCTTCAAGGTAAAATCAGCACTGGCCGTGGCCCAGCAGCCATCCATTGATCGCTGCAATGATGAAGATGGGTGGCTCAAGCACCAACTATCTATTAGCATCCACATTAGTTGCCATCAATGAATATGGTCTATGAATGGATAAATGATATATCACGAATCCCCAACAATTCAATATAAATCTGATCAGCTATCTGAATCAGGACATGAAAACCAAGAATTCGTCAAAATTTTAAAACCATCGGATTTGGGGTATGCCATATGCCCCATGTTCAGACAATCGAAACTCAATTAGCATCAATTAACACAATATATATATATATATTGAATCCTTCTATGAAAATCATAACTGAAGATACCTTTAGATGATTAATACATATTAATACTACTCTATTATACAGCTATGCCAGCTATGCCAGCTATGCCTATAATTTCTCCGAGGTAAAAGGTTGGTGATATACTCAGCCATCCATCCAATGTTGGCTTCGGGCGTCGGGTCATTGGGGTACTTGGTACCTGTTTCAACCCAGATGTTTTCGTGCTTTAGTATATGAAATCATTCAGTCCTGGTGCTTCATAATGTGTGTACAGTGTATATAATATTTGGGAGGATGATTCCAACTGATTGGTGTGTGTTTCAGTGGGGTTGAAATTGCCAACCAGATTATATACAGCTGTACAGCTTACGGATATAATTATACATAATATATATATATAATCATTGTTCCATATGTTTCCACATAACATGCATAACTCAACATATCCCATAACTTGGCACCAAATTAGCCACAACATTTATAGGGATCCCTGAACTTTGGCCCTTGGCGCAATCCTTGTTTTTTCGTACCTCCGTACCTCAGCCATCTGTTTCAGCCGGTGACAACTGGGGATCCCCCATCTTGATCAGCCTGGGAAACCGAGGACAACACAGAGATGTTCCAGGAGCCAGTCATTGCCATCGTCCTGAAATCTGGCGCCAGGCCCGACGGGCTGCGGCTCTGCCATCGTCCGACAGGCTGTCACGGCGGCGGCGTCAGGGTCATCGCAGAGGCGAATGGAGCCTTGGAAGGTGATCCAGTGGCGAAATTTCGAGTGGAACCTGGATATCAAATCCAAGAAACTTGGAGAAATTTCTGACATGTTCTCAGTTGATGGTTTCAGCATCTGGCATAAACCATAGCTGACTGGGAGTATGATGGTTTATGTTGTTTTTTATATGGTTTGTTGAAGGATGATGGTTTAAGCATGAACGCTGTACAGAATGATTCGAGCAGATCCCAGCATCGAAACTAAATCTGGATTTCTCTGCAAACATACGGTAAAATCACAGCAAAATCCCATGGGTTTATTTTGAATTCCCAAGTGAAATTGCCATGAATTTGGTGGTATATCCCATTTTCAGACACATCCAAATCATTCCAAATCCATAAATGGGTGAAATATATCGAAATAAATCCTATGTTTTCTCGATACCCCATGTCCAAGTCTGAGGAAAGTGATGGCATGGTGGTCGCCCTCGAGGGCCCTTCGCGCTATGACTTCGCGCACGAAGTGCCACCGGTGTCCGCCAGCCGTGTGTCCCTCACCTGGCGCTGGTTTGACGAAGAGTTTCTGCAGCAGCTGCAGCAGAGGGAAGCAAATCTGCGCAAAAAAAAGGGCAGATCTGGATGGAGGGGATTTCTGAATCCGGAATCCCACAAGGGGACCCAAAATCAACCAAAAAGTAACACACATATGATAGAATATATATATATATTATTATATTATTATATTACATTATATTATATTATATTAATATTAATATTATATTATATTGTATTATATTATATTATATTATATGTTATTATATTATATTATATGTTATTATATTATATTATATTATATTACATTATATTATCTTATATTATACTATATTATAATATATTATATTATATTATATTATAACTATATTATATTATATTATATTATATTATATTATAATATATTTTATATTAATATTTATATTATATATATATATTATATATATATTATATTTATATTATATTTATATTATATAATTATATATATATATATTATTTTATATTATATTTATATTATATATATAATATTGTATATATAATATAATAATATATAATAATATATATAGATATATCATATATATATATATTATTATATATATACATTATATTATATCTATTATATATATATATATATTGTATATATGTTATTATATGTTGATATTTAAATTTAATATGACATAATCAAAACATGCTGATATTTAATAGGAATTTAGTGGGAAAACCATTGGTATTTGGGTTCCTCCAATGTTAGAAACCACCATTTGGTGGCAATGGTCGGATGGGAATTGGTTCACCATTTGGGTACAATTGGGTATGGGTCAAAACGATCAACGGCCCCAAGAAACTGGATGCAACATCACCATTGTGTGGGTCCTAATGGGATCCCAATGTTGATCCATTTAGAAGTGAAATGAGAGCTTGACATTGACAGGTCATGAGGAGCATACAGATCCGGTCCTGAGGGTTGTTGGCATCTGACGTATAGCAACTGGAGACTACGTACATGCGGATAGTGACGGATAGTGTTCTTAGACATGAAGATGTGGTAGCAGCTGTTGGGCCCGGTTAGATTAGGCAGCTGCATAGTCAGATTAGGCAGCCAGGCAACACATAACGCAGCCAGATTAGTCAAATGGCGGGGAATTCAAAGCTCGTTGATGTTGATCACAATAGCTGCCAAGGATGCGTCGAATCCATTCCTCTATCCCAGTGCAGTCTGAAGCTCAACATCTGAATCGTTGGATCCAATGGTTTGCCCCGCTTGCTGCGACCAAGGAGCAGCAAAGAAAGTACCACCTGCCGGTACTCCACCGTGGCTTCTTGCCACATTTTTGTTGCATCACCAATGGTGCACAAGTGAAATTATCAAACGTGTTTAGCTTTCACCTTCACTTAAGTTCACAAGTTCAAAAACAGCTGCGGCAGTCCAATGACACCATCCCAGCTCCAGCTCCAATTACATTCTTATCCAGCTGAGGTTATGATTGCTGGCAGAGCTGTTTGGGTGCTGGCATTTGCTCGGATTTCTGCGGTGAGGGCAATGCTTGTTGCCGCAAGGCGCCAACTCGCTGAGATCGCTGTGGCTGTGCGGATGTTTCGAGACTGGGGGGTCGCTGTGTGTTATAACCAGTTGCTTTCCCCAATGTCTGTAGTTGTTGACACAAAAAAACAAGAACAACACAAACAAATGAGTGGCATTTATGAATTATATAATTATATAATATTATATATGGATATATGGATATATGGATGGATGGATGGATGGCTGGATGGATGGATGGATGGCTGGATGGATGGATGGATGGCTGGCTGGATGGATGGATGGATGGATGGATATATAGATAGATAGATAGATGATTTGCTGAAACTGATTCAACTACAACATCTACTTAAGCGCAACTTTGGAAATGGTTTGGACTGTGAGCAACCTCCGCAGCCTATCTTACATCAAGCCCAAAGCTTGGCAGGCCATTTGGTATGTCTCAAGAGCACCTGCAGATAATCTGCAGATATGCTGAATAATTTAGGTGAGACATGGTGAGACCAGATTTCCATTTTTTTGACTTTTGAGATAAGAGATACGATGTGAGCAAGTAGCAACTCACGGTGATTGTTGCCAGATATAGACTTTGCACCATGCAAACATATGTGTATCATGTTCTATCTTTCACAGTAGCATTAGCTTTTTCTTTAGCCAAGCGATATGATTGAACCAGTCACGGTTGAGTTGAAGTTGCATCGCCTCTCCCACGCACATGAAGGGCTCGGCCATTGCAACCGTCCTAGTGGGGCTGGCAGATGCTTGGCAGAGTTGGTCCTTGCCAACTTGGCTGGACTGTGTGGGATCTACGTGGACTGCAGCGGAGGAGTCTGTGACGGTTTACAAAGTGCTGTCTTTTGCCCTTCCTGAAGCTTTGGATGGTCTACCAGGTGGCTCTGGCGCTACACCATTTGGCCAACATCTTCAACACCAAAGTGGGATCTTTTGAATTTGAGACCCCAACAAAAAAACACCCAAATTTGTGTGATTCATTTGATTTGGCACCCCAGTTTCGAGCCGAGGTCTTGCTTCAGACATCTCCGACAAAGAATCGGGATGTTTGTTTTGGGAACTGCTGCGATCCCGCCCAGACCCCTTGTTGTTTCGGCTTCTTCAGAAGCAACCCGTGCTGAGTTTGGTCCTATCAGACTTGGGCCAGTTGGTCACTGACTTTGCAACAAACACCACGGATTTTTCTGGTGATTTGACATTGGAACCCTGGTTCCAAGCACACTGTGAGAGTGGCGTTGTGTACACGATGAGAAGTGAAGACTGCCAAAACAACGACTTTCGCACTGCCGTTTTGGAGCAGCAACACCACTGGAAGACCGTGGCAAGTGGTTTGTATAGCCGCTTGGTTTTCAGAAGCTGCTGGATATCCTTTTTCCAGATTGTATCCGTAGCTGCCTTCAAAATGTTTTGGGTTAGAGATGTTTGGAGACATGTTTAGACCATGTGTCATTGCTGAAGTCACCCTTTTGCTTTGCCTTTGGTGCAGCTCTTCCCTTCCGCAGTTGGTCTACAGCCGCAGATCCCAGCTATCTCAGCGCAATTGGCCAGAGCCATCCAAATTGCCGTGGTGGGGTCCCACAGCGGCCTCTCCCTGGGAGTCTCCAACGCGCTGTTGGAGGCGCTTCGTGGTGAGACTCAGGCGTGACGGAGGGAGGCAAGGGAGCTGCATGGGACAATATGGGACATGATCAATGACAGAATCGGATGACACATCTACAAGGTTCTGCAGCTGCACCAAGACTACGTCACAATTATCAGAAGATATAATGCATGTAATTATATGCACGTATATGCACGTATACATACGTATACATTGTACTGGGATATTGGGGGGCGTGGAACCTTGCTTCCAATTGGTTCCTTGCAAACACCATTGCAATCATGGAGCGCGTCAGGTTCACCTTGCATACTTCGGGCACTGGGCATGGTGCCAAAATGTGGACAATTGCCAGGAGCCGCAGAACTAAGACAACTATTCGATACCTTGCATGTAGACCTAAAACCCTCAATTGAGCCATCAACGATGTGTATTTGCCCTCGTATTTTAAACATTTTAAAACATGTTCAATTTTTTTTCCTTGTTTTACTCATGGTTCATCGGTCAGTTGGGTCACGGTATGTTTGTAACCAGGTTGAACAAATCTGCAGGAGCGATTTGACTTGAGCTGAACTCTTTATATCTCTTTATCACTTGTCCTGGAAAGAACGGCCTCACACTACAGTATCTTGCCTTTTTAGAGCCTCCAGTCAGACATGAATGGCTTTGTTTCGCTGTGCCAGACGCCTTGAGGACTTCCCTTGAGACTCCCTGCCCTGCCAGGAACCCCTCGCTTTGATGTTCCAAGCGTATCAACAAGATTGGGCAGAGTCTGAAGATGAGAAAAATGAAGCGAAATACCAGGAGTTGCTGATTCAACTTTCAAGTTTTTTACAGAGTGGAGCCCCAGAAGAGCTACTTCAACCAGATCTTTTCCTTTGTACTCGTCCTTTCCTTTTCTGCTGGCTGCTTCGGGACTTGTGGCCCGTTGGGCTTCCACAAGTTCCCATGCTGCACTACTACAGTGGGCCTTTGTTGTTCGACACCACTGAAGCGCAGAAGCTGCGGGTCCTTCAGGTATTTCAGCAAACGGTCTTGACATCGAAGTTGGATTTGGTGGTCTCTGGCCACAAAAAGGGAGTCGCGTTTTGTATGCATTTCCAGAGGGGCGTTTTGTATACTGTAGACATTTGGATTTGTAATATCCTTGAATGAATGTGTGCTATCTGCGGGTTCATGGCCTTGTCATGCCTTGGACACTGAGAATAGGATTGGTGCAGAGTTTTGCGAGTGAACAAACTCCACCAATCTCCATTGGATTTTGCGACAGTGACATGCTGGAGAATTTGTCCCCACCCCAACATGCACTTTGTGACGGAGCTCAAGTTTGCCGAAGAAATGCAAAAGATCAGTGCACATTTCATTGGTCATGGTTTAAGGATGTTTAAGGATGTTTAAGGTAAGTGCACAAAAATGAAAGACATGAGGAATCTTTTGGAGGAACAACCCCAGTAGATGTCACGATGTCTGAGGTTTCATCTTCAGTCCTGCAGAGTGCGTGGATGCTGTCCATGGCTGGGACGGCAGTACCTTACGTTCGGCCTCATGCCACCAGCCTACGTGGGCTTTATGTACCGCCACAGGCGGCTCGGATGGTCGACGAAAACCTGCTCTGATTGGAAGGTATATATCCTGATTGGTGCGGATTTTTTTAATCATTTGAGTTTCAAGACACGAGTTTTATATCGAGTAATACTTGTTGGGTTATTAGTTGGGTTACTTTAAAGTTCCACCGTGCTTTGGCCTTTGGGTCCACACCTTTAGCCTTGATAAATTACAATGAATAGCTAGCTATATAACAAGTATTTTTTCGTATGTTTATAGCATGTCAACCTGTATACAGTAAAAAATACAGGCAGCTATAATATCACTCTATACATATATAATACATATATATATATATATATTTACATAGTTATATAGTTATATAGTTTTATATATATTATAACATATGTTAATATTATATATATAGTCATCCTGGAGTAGATAGAACATAGCATGTTCAACCGATTTAAATTGGGATTGAGTTCGACAAATCCATGCATTTTCTATCTACTTCAGGATATTACAGTATACATATAAATAATATATAAGTTCATTTTCCTTTCAGTTTGTCGTACATCCTTATACATAGTATTTGATTATCATATGTGTATATCATAATCCCAATTAATGGATATATTTACAGGTATATATATATATACATACATAATACATATATATATATATATGTACATAATACATATATATATATATACATACATAATACATATCTATAAATATATATATATACATACATTATATATATATATATGTAGATCCATTCAATCTACTTATACAGTTTAACTAGACTTGGTCCTGAATTGCCAAGCCTTCCCCAGGGGCAGATGAATGGCATTCGCGCCCTGGTCTTGAGGAGCACATGGGTCACTTGTCTGGCAAGAACTTAAGGGTGAAACTCATCACCAAAGTTTCGAAGAGATCCAGAAATTTGGTGAACACTACTAAACTACTGTAATCACTCAGTGGTTTTGTGGTAATCACCCAGTGGTTTTGTGGTGATTAACTACTGTAAACTACTAAACTCTGAATTCTAGTGGTTTTGGGGTACCACTGGTACCACCCAATTTCTACATCGTTTTTGGATTCTGATTTTTTAGGTCCAATGATCATGTGAAATAGCACCAATTTTGTGACCCCAAATTGAGTGGATTCAGTGCATTTCACATCATTTCAAATGGTACATTTTTTCGGCAGGGAAAGATGGTGACACGTCAGGATGAACCCTTGGTCTGTTTTTTCAATACTTGGGATACCACCCAGGAAGTTGCATGGGAAAATTATGGAAAATTAATGAACATGATCTCAAACATTCTCAAAGTGTTCATGCAGACAAATTCACCTGAAAATATCACCCAGATGACTGCAGGTTGGTCGCGTTGGACCTCCGAGGTTGGATCCATCATGGCACAAGCGTTTCAGAAAGTCTTTGCAGAGATGGATGCGGAAAATCCCAGTGGAGTCACCCTGGAGTGGCTGGGGGCTGGCAAATTCCTGTCATACCAGGAGATTGCAAACTTTCATGCCGCACTGTTCTTGCCAGAACAGCCAGACAAGCTCACGTGACCCGGCGGCAGTGCTCAACTCGGCACAAACACTTGAGCATTGGGAATGAGCACATGCCTGAGAGAGTGTCATGGTGCGTCATGTTTTCTTTAGTCCTGGCTACTTGCAAGAGCTAGGGAGCCATTTTGAGCCATGCTCACACAACCGCATGCCAGATGCCAAGCCTGCCAAGCCAGAGGTTTTGGGAGCAATACGAGATGTCTATGCCGCTGTGGCTACCTAGCTCTTCCTGGTGGAGTAAGATCCACTCCATCGGCGAGTTTCGCTACTCGGTCTTCGCGCACCGCTGGTCCGCGGAGCTCCCGGAGCTCGCGGAGCTCTCAGCAATCGGAGCCTCAAAGAGCTGCTTTCCGCAGCCTGTGTTCTTTGAGACGGACGAGCCCAAGCGGCATTGGAAGATAATTGTTGTTGGGTTATAATATATATATATTATATAATTATATGATATATAATAATAATAATAATAATACTAATAATAAATAAATAATAATAATAATAATAGTAATATATATATACACTTAAGGTACACTTTCACAGGAGATTCAAATTATAATATGCCATTATGGGGATGTAGTGGGATATAGTGGGGATATAGCCAAAAAATATGAGGATGTTTGTCTTAAAAGAACTGTCATTATACCATGTGGAAAATCATGATGAACCATCCAGGGTACCATGGGGCACCCCATTTTCAGACCAATCCAGATAAGTATATGGTTGGGTTACGTCATAACATAATAGATATATATATATAATATATATATATATGTATATATATATATTTCTATTGGTCTGAATTTGATGCATGCTGCAAGTCGATGGGAGATGCTTTGATTGCTTTGATTGCTGCACATTCATCAAGCAAACGTTGGTGTCATTTTCCAGTGTTTTGAGGACTTGGAGAAGTTTGAGATGAACTCTCCCCTTGCTCCAGCTTTTTGGTTCCTTGGCCACAACGGGACATCTAGTGATTGATGTGATTGTGGTTTTTCAGCGGAATCGCAGACACAATAGCTGCCTGAATTCTGTCAATGCTTGGAGTATATCTTTTAATTAGAGGTTCCTGGGCTGTGATCTTATTTTGGTGTCCAAGCCGATCACCTGTCACCATCTGAGGTACGAGCTTACGGACTACGCACTGTTTCCACATTTGCAGCAGTTCAACTCCGCTGTGGAACTGGTCAACCAGCTTCTGGCCGCAGATTTCTTGGAGATCCATCGAGCAATGGCTGGGAATCCAAGACTTCCAGCAGATCCGGGGCCGGGGCGGTGAGTTCCGAACGGGCTACTTCCAGCAGCTTATCGATGTTAGGATTCAGCCATTGATTGGGGTTTGATAATTTTGGTCCCATGTCCCATCTCCAGATCAACAATGATAATGATAAATGATTGATGAATCAAAAATAGGTCTTGATAGTGACAATGATAATGATTGATGATCATGATAATGATTGATATACATTGAAAGGTCTTGATAATGATTGATGAATAAAAAGGATACAAAGGGACATGACTGGGCTTTTGTACACGGGTGGTCACCGGCGGTTTTAACCTTTTTGATGGCAGAGATGCAATAGCTAGAAAAGCTCCACGTATCGAATGTTCGCAAACCCTTTTTCCCGAAAATGACCCAACTGTAGGAAAATATACCATGGAGCAAATGGGAGGTGGCACTGATTCACTTGATAGTCAAGGGGCTTTGTGCAAACATGTGCTATATCAATCCCTAAACTGCGAAATCCCTTGCCTAATGTAATTGCTTGCCATCATGTGAAGTAAATGCCCCACTTTAAAGCACAACCCTCATGTTAACCAGATCTGGTGATCCTCCCACGATATCCCCACGATCCAACGAGGCCATTTTCAACGAGGACACCTGGCAACGTTCTGCGTCCTTCTACCGCGCCGCTGTGGCGTCCTTACTGTCGCCTCGACGTGGTCTCGGTCTCACCACGGAGTTTCTGCCACAGCCCACAGATGCAGAGTGGACTGAGATCTGCGGCAACAAGTCAGAAACTCCCTGGGAGTCGAGCTTGGCTTAGCCCCGTGGGAGTATGAAATTCATTGAAATTCATGTATAAATGGATGGAAATAAGGAATTTTCCATTGTCATCTTTAAACCAATCCTGATGGCATATGATGGCATCATATACGGGGATAGAATCAATAAGTCTGAATTTCCTGTGGTAAAACCAAACACATAAACCATCACCAAGTTTTATCAGAAGTTGACATGCAGAAATAAATAGCCTAACAAACCATACTCAATTAGAGGTCCATGCCGTTGTCAACACCTTCGCCCGGTGCCAGGGAGCCACCAACGATCCACCGGAGTGTGCAAAGATCACAGACTTCTGGACAAATCATCACGAGTGTGTCAGCAACCCAGCACGAACTGAAGCGCAGCAGCTGAATGTGAGGGGCTTGCGATCAACAAATCAGTAGATGCCGCGGTGCCAAAACATGTGACATGATGCGCTGAATGTAAGAATACAAGATGAGAAGATGATCCTTTAGTTGTCAAACATGTGGTCGCTCCTCTGTTTTTTTTCCACATTGACATGGACACTTTGTATTGAACTGTTGTCATGACGTGGATGCCAGGTGAAACCAGTGGTGCAAATCGAGGTGAATCACTTCGCACAGGAGATTTCTTCTTTCGACGGCATTCAGTTTCAATGGATCTCCTGAAAGAAATGACATAAAACTAGACTTTGAGAATACTTTGAGCTATGTTGAGTATGTTTGTTGTTATTTGTGAGCCAAGTTGGCTTCGAACTGATGATTCCTGCAAGGGTTATAGTAGATATATTTGAATCCATACCATTTTATAATATTTTATAACTAATGGAGTTTATCACAACCAACAAACTTAGGCCCCACATTGAAGACCTCACCATTTCTGTGGCTCCAGTCGTCCAGGACTGCTGGGAGCGCTGCCAAATCGGTGGCGACTGCAAGTGGTGTGGCAGTGGAAGTTCCGCTTGCTGCGGCTCAGCGATGTTTCGTGGATCCACAAGCCCTCGTAGCAGCAAGGGGGTTCAGTCAGAACCCAGAACAAACCCATATAATCATAGATATCTCGCGTACATCCCATGATTTTCCTATCTATATTATATAGTTATTATACCATACCATATATATATATATATATTATATAATGATTACTGTATAGATATATCGCCTAGATACCCCATATATAAGCCACATTCATATAACCCACATCTCCACCCATCCATTGTTTCGGATCGACATCCACTCCGCGTCCAGCGCCGAGGTCGAAAGAACAGCACCTTAGATCCGCCGGAGTGTCAGGGTGTGGTGGATTGGCCCACGGACAGCTGCTTGTCGGGTTCATCCACCAGAAAAGCCCCAACAAAAACAGAAACAGAGAGAAAATGCTGGAAGCTCCTACTGGAAAAATGGTGATGCTGTGATGCTGGAAACTTTTGGATCCTTTTGGAGATGAGATTAATCACTTACCCTTTGGTGATTTAGCAGTTTGGTGGTGTTTAGTCTGCCTATTCAAAATGGTGGTTTTCCATAGCTAGGTCAAATTACCATAGTGTAATATTAAATACCACCCCAATTTTGGGGGCCCCAAGTCATGAATAGATCCAACAACTAGGTTTGCAATTCGGGTGTTTAATATAGGGGGAAGGGATTATATAAGGCAAGGGGGATTCAACCAACAGCTCGACAGCATTTTTTAAAGGGTTCATATTAGGGGCAGATCTTCACCACCAACGCTGGCACCAGTAGGGGTCACCTGGATGGGGGGTTGATGGTGCTGGTGCTGATGGTTTGGTTATGATGATGCAGAAATGTCACAAATGAGTGTACTGGAAACCAGTCAGCGAATTTCATATGTTCATCCCAAGTTCCCAAGGATTCTGCAGAGCAGATTGAACTGCACGCCTTCTTAGGACATCATACCTGCGTGACACCTGTGAAGGATGTCGAAGTGAAACATGAGGGTCAGGACTGCAAACCGTGAAAAACGCATATTTTGGCCCTGGGATGGAAAGTGGTTGGTCATGTTGGTCTGTGTGACACATTACTGAATCACAAAGTGATCATTGCAGCTGTGGCAATGTACCGAGGTTAGGCCGTTTTGGTTTGCGGATTCGTGGTTGTTGCGCCACGGACTCATCATTTTTCGTTGCATTTGAGCTACTTGCGCAACTCGAGACCTTCCGCAAGCAACACAAAAAAAACACTAACGAGCATTAACGCGCAAGATTTTCCAGTTGAGCGACGCTAACCCTTTGTGCAAGCTGAAGTGTCGTGCACGTATGCGATGCAAAGTCTCTATAAGTTGCGGCGTAGGGCATAGGCATTCCCTTATTGCCTTTGGAGAAAGAAGACCTTTTGATGCTCAGTTGGCAGACCAAACTTGAAAAACTATGACGTCGCCATGATTTTCAAGGCCCAAATAGGTCCGAAAAACACAATGTATCATGCCTTGGCCACAGCATGCCACAGCTGTTTGCGATGGTTTCTTTATTGACCTACTCTGGTCCTAAGCAAGCGGCTCCATAGATAGGTGACATGAAGTTGCAAATAATGTCCATGTGCAGCACCAGTTTCCATCAAACCAGTTGCTCCACCAGGAAATCCAGGTTGGATTGGTTGGTTGGTGCCAAACATGCGGCTCGAAAATGGAGTACAATGGACTCACAACCCATCCATTCTGATTAGTAGCCTGGTCACCCCTTGAACCATGCGACACTAACTAGTGTTGAAACGCTGCTTCAAATTGCAAGAACTTAGACTCTGCAAGTACCTAGAAAAAATATAGACATGTGGTAACTTTTGTATATCCATTATTCCGGGACTTTTACCCACTTTACTTGTACTTGAAGGGTGGACACTGGCAGTCACAGGATACATTTCATAATATTTCATAGGAAACTGGTAAGGATGTGCCCATACAAGGCACAGTTGCATATATAGAATGACATCTCTAGAATCAAGCCGCCGTCCAGTCTGTTAGACCCAGATCTCAGTGAGGACTGCTTCGAATTTTGCGGAGGCCGAGGGTCCTGCAATTGGCACCTTGGCCGAGATCCCTGTTTTGGGCCCTTGGCAGCGCATGATTTTGTTTGAGAAGCCAACATTGTGAAGAGACAGAAATGAGATACTGTACTACTCAATCTAAGCTTAAATAGGCATGCTTAATCACGATTCTGTTGGTTCACATTCACATTATTGGGTTCATTGCCTACTGCAGCCATGGAATCAAAATATTGCAGAAGCTCGATTCTGTATTATATGTAGTATAGGGCAAGCTGCCAGTAATGAATCATTGAAAGAAGGTTTTCCTGCCAATACTGGCCCGAAAGTAGTCGTTGTTTGGTCTTGATGGGTTCGCAGTTTTTTTCTCTTTGATAATATAGGTTGAGATATTTGATACTTGACTCTGCCAGATTGTGTACATGTCTATTGGTTTGTGCCCCATTTTGGATATATCCAATAGTCTATGTTCGCTCGTTTTGAAGCCAAGTGGAAATGGATACACTTAAGCAAGCAGCTATGCACCAGTCAGACACATGTGAACCCTCCAAGGTGCGGTGAAGGCAATGCATGTTGCAAATATGGAGACCATTTTGATGTTTCGGAATGCCGTGCTGTGGTCTATTACTCTACTCTGGAGTTGCTCGGCTGTTTTTCGACTGCGTCTCAGTTCGAATGGGGGAAGTGGTAGCATCAGCGCCATCCTTGGCTCTCATGCGTTCATGGGAGGTGAGAAAAGGACTTCGATCTACAATAGCGGCATATAGAGACTTGACATTCATCATTCATACATTTGGATGCTGGGTCCAGCGTTTGTATACGCAGCTTTTTGCATTAGCAAGCCGCAACACCCTTTGTGTCAGAAGTATCGCACATCCACCGCTCTCATGGCAGAGACGAAGTCGACGAAGTCGGTGCCGTTCCAAAAACGGCCCTTTGCCGCGATTTTGGTGGCCTTGATTTTTATTCAAACTGTTCCTGGGATTTGCTGGACATCTTTTTTTGTCCATTTTTTTTGGCAAAAATTGTCCGAAGTATGTTCCTTTGAATCCACCAATCATGGGGGATCGACACTGAGAATCTTCCTTTATTTTTCATTATTGTTCATTGAAAAAAGACATGACCGTTTCTGGCCTTTCAAAAAGTTGTTCCAGGTTCTCGTGGAATGTTGTCTCATCCTCTGGCCCAGTCTTCCCTTGCTGTTGATCCCAGCCCCTTGGGCTCGGCGAATTTTCCTGCGCCTTGCCGGCTTTGGGCAAGCCGCCTGGCTAGGCCTGGCGGTCACGTGCCTGCGCTTTGTGTCGAAAAGCAAGATCTATATCCACTGCAAGGGGATGACCTTGCAAGAGATGCAGCAGATGTCAGGAGATCTGTTGATGATTAGCACCTTCAATAGGCAAAATGGACTTTTGGAGTCGTGAAGTTTTGAGTTTTAGGTTTTATACTGCATCTAGCCAATCGGTCCTTTTCTACAAGACATATTTCTTTATTGTGACATATTTCTTCGTTGAATTTGCAGAGTTTTCTGAAGGTTTTGAGCCAATCTTTTGGGACGCGGGTATAGGCAAAACAGTTTGTGAGCACGTAAATTGTTGGATTGATATGGATTGATTGGACATTAAGAGTCATGCAATATTCTTATGAAAGCCTTAAATCCTGCACTTGGAGAGTTGTTGCTTTTGTTTCTGGATTCAAAGTTATTGGTGTCAGTTTCTGTTTTTGCAAATCTCGCAAATTGGCTTAAAACATCAAGTCCAATTTTGATCTGATCACTCTGATCACCCTGATCACTCAAGTATGTCCTATCAAACCCAGATATACCTCTAGACTCTAGACTACAAACTACTGTAGCATGGACCCCATTCATTTAGAATTATATACCCGTTTTCACGTTTCAACGTTTCGGGTCAAGGTATAGATGCATCAAGCTGTGCGGGCTCATTCGCCGCCGGACCAAGGTAATCATCCTTCCCGGATTGATTGGATGTTCCACTGGGCTGTGGCCATTGCTCTGGGTCGATTGGCCAATTTGAAGATCGTCTTGAAGGATGCGTTGCGCGTAGCTCCCGGCTTCGGCTGGGCCATGCAGTGCAATTCTTATCCATTCGTGTGTCGAAAGGATCGCAACAAAGACTTGGAAACCCTGCGGCGCGTGAGCTTTCTAGGTGGCGGCCTAAAGTTGGCCCTGTTGCTGTTCCCAGAAGGTACGGATTTGAGTGATTCCAATCTGCAGAAGAGCCATGCACATGCCGAAAAGGAAGGATTGTCGAAATACACGCAAGTACTGCATCCAAGAACTGCCGGATTTGAGACTGCTCTGTCGGCAATGATGGAAGTAGCGAAGAACAAACAGGCAGAGAAGCCATCTTTGTTGGATATCACTGTGGCCTATGTCCACCAAGTTCCAGGGGAATTGCCAAGCGAAGTGAAATTCTTTGGCAAAGGTGAGTGCGTTGAAGAGGTGCACATGCTGCTGCAGAGAATTCCGCTGGAGATGGACACGGCAGATGCTGGAAAGCTTTGTACGCAATTATGGAAAGAAAAGGAGGAGATGGGCTGAGCTTTCTCCCACCATGTTGCTTTGGTTCCTGTTTGCTGCAAACTATGTTTCACTGAAGTGGGAACTTGTTGTTACAAAATCCCATCTACACCACCTAAATCCGATAATTAATTTGATAAAGCCGATAAATTTATCATGGAAACTGATAAAATGGAGTCCCAAAGCCGATGATTTGACTACTGTATACAGCTGGTTGGGGTTCATGTTAAACTTCGGGGGCGGAGAGTTTCCAACCACCAGTTGGACCGTTTTCATCCCAGGAGATGTTGTGCAAGTTCTATGCGCCCTGCCAGACAGATGGCAAGCGCAGTGGCAACGGCCTGCCAGATCCATTTGCCCTTGCTGCAGATTCCAGCTGTCTTTGGGAGGATGCTCCCGGCGCCAAAGGTCGAATCTTTGCAAGCATCGCTGTAGCCTGGATTTGCGTATGGTGATTGCCATGATTGCCCTAGGTGAGGATATGTTGGGTCTGTCAGTGGTTTTAAAGAAGCCTGCAAGCACCTTCCCATCTTTCCCGTGTCCTTTTTTGGAACCAAAAAATCAACATTGCAATATATTGCAATGCGTCCAAGGTTGCTTTAGCCTGCGAACTGATCACACTGTATTTGCTTTGTACCTTGCCCTTGCTCCTGAACTTCTTCCTCTTCTTGGCCGCATGTGTCACCTTTGTGTTGGTCCAGAAGCTTGCTGGTGGCATTGACAAAGTGATCCTCCACCACGCAGACAAATATCCGGAACAGTTCGGACCGTCCACAAAGATTGACTGAGACAAGCAGCCGGCGATCTCCGAGAGCAACAAAGTCGGGCTGGATGATTTTCACAAGCCTTGATTGCAGTTATCCCGCAAGTGTTTCCAACAATCGGAATTCGGGCCCTTTCATGATGTTTGTTCATGTTTTTTCATGTTTTTGCATCCAGCTCACGACGCAGCCCGCGCAGTCAAATAGTGCAGACCTCAAGGTCGCCAGGATATCACGCACAGTGCAGCAACCGCAAAGTGTCAAAAAGTTGTTGCACACCTCCACACGATTCCACAGCACCCAGCCTGCAGTGTTTTTCGATCATCTGCAACCCCCTCCAGGTTGACCAACAATACGATGAGGTAAACCGGAGAATAAATCATATAAGCAATGCCTGCTATTTTACTGTGTTAAACCTTCAATTGGTAACCATTCCATGCTGAAAAAATGATCGATTATTGGCACTGCAAGTACAGTACTTGCAGAGCATCAGTCTGTTTGTGCTGGCTCCTTCCAGCACTGGAAAGCTGAGGCATCATGTTTGCGTGAAACCATCGTTTCCAAAGCCTTTGACAATGCCTGGACTTCCTAGGTGTGCAGGGTCCGTTATGCTGCAGGACAATAGCATGGGGGTGTTCCTAGAATTTCAAACTTTTTGTTGTTTTTTTCCTTCGAAATGATTTCACGGTTTGGGGCTTGGAGGTCCTCGTTTTAGTAATCACCCACATGAGAACTGCTAGCTGCGAAAGTCATCAATAATGTTTGGAAAAGTGTTCATTGCTTTGTTGTTGTAGGCCATCCATGCACTATCCAGAGTTCTCTTTCAATGTGAGAAACAGAGATGATTGCTCTTTGTCCTTAAGCCTAGGAACTAAAACTCGTCCTTCAACAAGCATCCCACTTCAAGTCCGCGTTCAGATTCAAAACCCTCGTTGTTCGATGATGAGTTTGGAGTTGTACTAACGCACTATGTATGATTTAAAACCCAGATCAATCAACCATTACTATATTTATGTTAATTATGATTTAATATATATAATTATATATATATAATAAACTATACAGATTGTGGATTATATCAATGATATCCCCACCAAATCAGCAAATCCATTTTTTGATAAACTGGATGAATCAGCTCGCTTCGTCAGGGTCGACGAGACAGACTGCGCTGAAGGCCTGGTGATGGACCCCATCACAAGGCGCTGCGGCTTGTCACATGAGCCTCAGCTCTATACGTTCTACGTCTACAGGCGGCTTGCCCCGGATGGGGGTTGAGCGAAGACTAAGGAACTGTGAGATGTGTTTTTGTTGAAGAATCAACTGAGCAGACACCGAAAAACCTGAAGTGTTTTTTGTGACGGGGTGTGCACTTGAATAGAAATTTACATTGATGACAGTGATGGTGTATATATAATATAATGTCATATAATATAATATAAAATAATATAATATAATATAATATAATAATAACAATTATAATATAATGATAACAATTAATTATAAAATATGATTATATATAATTATATATATGAGCAACCGACAAAATTAGCATAAGAGTAAAGTAGTAGGGAGTGGACTTGGATGTTTAAAATTGTGCGCAAACCTTCACAACCAATAGAGGACCACCCACTTTGGCCACGTCCATTGCTGGTAGTAAGTAGTTCTGTCCGCCACTCATATATATATATATACATATTATATATACACACAATTTATATAACATGTATATATAGTATATATATATATAACATGTATTATATATATAATATATATATATGTATATATATATATATATATGTATATATATAATATATATATGGGGTTTTCCTCCAAATATATCTGGTGATGCTTTCTTGCTATTTTCGTTCCGCATCATTTTCGCGGGTTGCACTAGGCTCGGCAATGGCAGCTGGACGAACGCCAATGCAGGGAGCCTAGGCACGCAGCGAACGTCATCGTTTCCTACGGTAGTTGTGGAAGCAATGGATGAACATGGCCCGTTTAGTTCGATGATTTGTGATGATTTGTGATGATTTGTGATGATTTGTGATGATGTGTGATGATGTGTGATGATGTGTGATGATTTGTGATGATGTGTGATGATGTGTGATGATTTGTGATGATTTGTGATGGAAAAACACATTAATTACCTTTTAAACTAATGCTGATTTTCCATATGTTAAATTACCAGAGGGTATTTTCAGTAACCCCAAACTGTTTGGCTTATAGCAACGTTCAATGGACCAGCTTTTTGATATAACGGACTGGATCATGTATTTTGTGTTCAAAAAGTTTGACATCAAGTCATATGATAATCTATATCACATGCTATATATATATATATATACACATCACATATGGACAGCTTGCGGTTTTTGTCAATTGAAACATGGAACAAAGCCCCATCTCACATTTTCAGTTCTTTCAGCTCAAACTACCTCATGCGTGATCTTGTGGTTCATCTTGCTTGGTTGGGAACACACGCCTTTCGATCTGTGTTTGAGCGGGATCCCTCAGCTACACTTTTGGCTGACTTATCTTCAGAAGTGAAGATCCTGCAGGCTGAACTCCATAGGGCGCACAGACTGATTGAGGGATACAACCTGGCATTTGAAAGGGAAGAGCGGACAAATCGGTACCAGATTTTGGGGCTTGAACTGTTTATCCTTTTCCTTGCCATTGTCACTCTTGTGCTTCTCAACCCGTGGATTTGGCGTAGGCGTGCCTCCCCTCCTCCTGCTCCTCTCCAAGTATTGGGAAATACCGGCGGTTCATCTGATAGCGAGAGCGGTTCAGAAGACCAGATTCCTCTTACTTGGCCGGGAACAGTCAGAGGTCGGGGAGGTGGGCCGGTACGGCCATCCTTGTTGGGTAAGGGACATAAGAAGTGAACATGGCCGCAGTGGAGAGAACACTCGATGTCGCAGAGCCTCAGGTGTTGGTTCATTACCCGAACGACCCACACTTGACAGAGCATCACAGACTGCTTCTGGTCAAGGTCAGCGCAGGCAGGTGGATTGCTGCCTCGCCCGACCATGAACTGGACCTGCTTGATCTCAATACCCATAGGCATGTAGTGCTTCGACGCAACTCAGATTTTCCCCCTCATCTGGTGAATGATGCTTACATTTTTGACCCGATTCATCGACATGATTTGGAGCGTCTCAGGCAAGAGGCAAAGATTATGGCCATGGTTTTGAATGACGATGACATGGATGAAGTCCCTGCACAGGTTTGGGTTTTCAGCGATCCGAACTCAGTCATGTTGGGCAAAGAAGTGCCGGCCGATGTTTTTGCTGGGGCCGTCACCTTGAGTGGGAAGGGGTTGGTGGAGCACAATGGCACGATTGAGATTATTGAGGAAATCGCTCTGGATCAGTTGCAGTCCTTCGCTGAAGCAAAGAGGGGTGTGCTGGGTGACCTGAGACTGATTGGGAACCATGCTGACTTATCAGGTAAACGGTTCATTAGTCTGCAAGATGCCTTTCCGCTGTTCAAAGAATCTCAGATGAAGGACTGGGGTTTCAGTGGGCCGCGCGCGGTCAAAGAGTATCTTGAGTCCATCCGAGAAGCCTCAAGTGATCTAGCCTCGTACCATCTTCAGTGGTTGCAACATAGTGGTGCAAATCCCCGCACTGCTTTGGTCCATGAGCACAGGAATATCATTGAAGTTTTAAGGCTTGGTGTATCTCGTGATCAGCTTGATGTGAGCAATTTGCTGTCCTTTGAGTTGCTGGTCCGAAGGGCCATTCAACTTGAGTTGGCGGTCGCCCGATCTCCACAGAACCCAGAGTTTGCAGGCCTTGAAGCGCTGATGGAAGCACCGCTCACATCCACTGGCTCTGCATCGACCCGTGGCCTGGATTTGTGGTTGACTGAGAGACTCAAGGAGAAAGCTCAGATTCAAAAGCAAGCTCGCCTCTTCAAAGAGGAAATGGGGCGAGGATCCAAGAGCTCTGGAGCAGTCCAGGGGGAGGATGCCGGATCTGGAGGTGGGGGTGGTTGGAGAAGAAAGAAGAAGGCAGCAGTCAAAGCCAAAGGCGCCAGCAGTTCCACAGCTGGCGCCGGGGAGACATAGCTGCCAAAATTTTTGTGCCTGGCGGGATGTCGTCTGACCGTCCAGGTGTTTTTCAGGGCGACAGCTGGTGGGCAACTTACAGAGCCCACGGCGATCCGTTTCCTTTGGCGCCGTGCTGGGTTGATGACAGTGCGAAGCGCAGGGGGATTTGTTTTCCACAGCGAGGTGCTTGGGCTGCTTCGGCATTGAACACCCTCGCTTTGCAAGATCCGAATTCAGATTTTGATAAGAAGCTGCTTTCAGTCCCTCCGAACTCTGCTCAACAATCAGTCGTTCAGCGCATGGTGGACAACCTGGAACAGGCTGGGCCCCCGCCGGATGACATGACTGGAAGCGAGGCTTTACATAGCATGAGTGGGGGGAAAAGCCTCTACAATGAGGAGCCTCGGAACTTAGCACAGTATGATTTTTCCAAAGTCAAAGTGCTCCACTCTGAGTTGAACCCTAGGAAATTAGAGGACATGTTGCCATCGTATGCCAAGTCTGTTTTGCAAAAATACCAAACCCTCATTGAGCTCTCGAATCAAGAACTGGTGGACCAAGGTTGTATTCCCATTCAGCCATATTGGGACCCTAAGTTGCGCCATTCCGACAAGTTGAAAGTTCAGCTCATCGTCGCTTTAGCCAACAAAGGGCTTATCACCTTTCGTAGAAAAATTAAGGAACGCATAGGACTTTTCTTCGTTAAAAAGAAAACCCCGGAATGGATTAGGATGGTCATCGATGCAAGGCGTGTCAATGCATCACACCGTGAACCCCCTTGCACTAGGTTATCAACCCCCCGCAGTTTTCTGGACTTGCAATTAGAGCCTACCCATGACGGGTCTCCTCTTGCCTTCGGCATTGAAGCTGATGTGAATGACTGTTTCTATAACTACTTTACTGAGGCCTTGGCTAGCTGGTTTGGCATTGACCGCCCCGGGACACTAGGGTTTTGGAGACAACAGGGTTGGATGCCAACTCAATTGTTTGATGATGATTTGGGGGGATTCCATGCTCTTAGTGATGATACCACGGTATATCCAGTGTTCCGTGGCCTCTGCATGGGCTGGAGCTGGAGCCTCTTTTTCGCTAACGAGTCTGTGAACTTTATTGCAAGCGGCAGAATCGAAAGGCCCATCCAGCAAATCCGTGATAAAGCCCCTGTGCCTTCCATCCAAGATGCTCCCATAGTTGGTGTTTATGTTGATAACATTAGCATTATAGGTAGAACATTCGGTGAGACAGTGTCTGCCGCCGCCAAAGTGAAGACTGCTTTTGATTCCGTCAACATTCCACTGACATGGACGCATTCAGAGCCTAGTCCGGTTTTCGAGTCGGTAGGTCTCATACTTGACTTTAACACCGGCTCTGTACGAAACAAACCCAAAAGACTGTGGAAAGCCTTTCTCGCAGGTCGTGAACTACTGCGAAGAAGGAAGGTGCCCACGAAGCTGCTGGAGTTTTGGCTTGGTCACATGACATCACTCTTCATGGTCACGCCATCAGCCTTGAGTGCCTTTTTCCACATCTATCGGTACATCAACACCTTCCGTTCCAGGAGGGCTGCCTTGTGGGGGAATGTGAGACAGGAAATTCGTACTGCCTTAGGGTTGCTTTGGATGACATTTGCCTCAATTGTTTTTGACCCCATTAAGCAGGTTGATGTTGGTGATTCTTCTTCGGGTGCTTTTGCGTTGTTAACCACTGTTGCTGAAAAGCATGAAATCAGAGAACTTTGCAAATGGCGTGAGGTTTGGAGGTATCAACCCATTGCTCAGTCGGTCAAAGATGCGGTGGAATCCGGGTCACGAGCTATGGTTATCGACGCTCTGAAGGAGCTTGAAGGAGAGTCCATCCAGACACCTCTACTTGCCCAGGAGGTGCGACCTTGTGCACCCTTTGGGGCTGCATTTCGCACTGCATATGCCGATTGGTTGATGGAGTTTTCACAGCAGAATAAAACATGGCATGCGACTAGTGCTATTGCCACACAGTTTAAATCCCGACGTAGGAGGCGTCTTGAACTTGATGTGGCTACCGTGGTCCCCCCAGTTTCCAGCCAGCTCTGCGAGGCAGGGCGGTTCACTTTGTTGTGGAGACGGAAGTGGCGTAGAACTGATTGGCACATTAATGCCAAGGAAGCCCAAGTGAGTCTTAGTTCCATTCGGCGTGCTGCCAGAGTCACCAGCTTGCATGGTAAGATTAAGATTACATTATGTGATAACTTGCCTGCCTTGTGTTCTTTTGAGCGTGGTAGAAGTTCATCATCTAGGTTGAATCGCATTTGTCAGCAGGCTGCAGCATACCAGATAGGCACAGGCATAAGATGGCGGCTCAGACATATCGAGAGCCTTCGTAACCCAGCCGATAAAGATTCACGGTTTCACCAAATAGCTAAGCAAGAGCTTCGTCGGCCGAATCGGCCCGTAGTCTCTCCTTTGGTTGAGCGTGGTTTTGCACCAGGACTTGCAGTTGACAGTGCCAGTCAAGAACTAGGTAGACACCCAAGTCAGTCATCCACGGCTAGTCGTGCGTGTCAGGGTCGCAGCCAACCAAGAGGGGGACTCTTTTTGGAGCTTTTTGCAGGCACAGCCAGGCTCACCAGTGCCATACGTGAGCAGAAATGTGCAGTGCTTAGGGGTGTGGATATCTGTAACGGATCTCATCATGACCTCCGAAGACGCACGTCTCAGCTTATCATTTTGCACTGGTTGAAATCTGGTATCGTGAGATATGTTCATTTAGGAACGCCCTGCACAGTGTTTTCTCGTGCCAGACATGCTATCAGACACGTTGAAAGAGCCCGTGAAAAGGAGAGGGTTGGGGTAGAGTTTGCTCTTTTCACCGCTGAAGTCATCATGGTTTGTAATCGGTATAACATTTCATGGAGTGTTGAAAACCCTCGGCATTCCAGACTGTTTGACGTTCCGTTTTTAGAGCCACTCCTGCACCACCCCACAGTGATTGCAGTTGATATTGATTTTTGTAGATATGGTGAAAAATATAAGAAGCCCACTAGGATTTTCACTAACTTTGCGGACCTGAAGAGTCTCTCCAGACACTGTTGCCATCGTTCACATGCTGAGATTCTGAGAGGTTCTGAACGTGTGAAAATAGGAGATAAATATGTTTCTCAACCCAAGACCCGCAAGGCGGGCGCATATCCTTTTCCGCTGACATGTGCATGGGCTCTAATAGCACAGAAATTGTTGGCCCCTGCGTCAAGGGATAACTCACTCCTTGAGCAGCAATGTGAGCATGAGCTTTTTGCAGTCCAAAAGACAGCGAATACTAGAGAACCAGTACAAACCACTGCTGGCCGATCCAGCGGCATCGAGCTGTCGTGCTCACTCGTCAGCCAACTCGAAAGTGAAGTTCCGCAAGCCCGTGAGTTCATCGTCTTCGGCCAACACTCAAACGCAGACGTCAGCCGTAGGCGGCAGGGCATCAAGAAAGTCCGGCAGGCCGATCCAAAGAAAATCTTCAGCCTCTGGAGTCCGTCAACGCCTTCCCAAGCACAAACAGCTTAAGGCCCTGAGAGTGCAAGATGTGACGTTGATGAGATATATCGAACATGTGAGCTGGTTTAAGAAGTTCTGTTTGCGACGCAAGCTGGTCCTGTCGGATATCCACAAAGTGGACAAGCACATGGCCACATACTTTGCAGACTTGCTTCAACACGACGCCGCGTACAACACGGCATCGTACACCCTTTTTGGATATCTTATGCTTGAGGCAGATGAACCTATGGCAGATAAGTTTTTGTTGCCCCATTCAAGAGCAGCGCTGAAAGGGTGGGCCAGCCGATATCCGCAGAGCTCCAGAACAGGTGCAGATCCAGACCTTTGGTTTTTGATCGCAAAGCATTTGTGTGACATTGATACTCGATTGACGGCCGTCCTTTTGATTCAGCTTGACACCTATGCTAGGCCTTCTGAAATCTTGGGCCTTCGGAAGCATGATGTGGTCAAACCTGTGGGTCGTAACAAATTGTGGGGCATTATTTTTGGAAATTCAGTGCGCCATGAACAGACCAAGACCGGCACCCAAGATGACACTGTTTTCCTTGATTCTCTCCATGATTTTGCACCTGCCGTGGCTAAGTTAGTGTATAACTCTTGTCGGCAACATTCTGGCTTTTTGTTTCCGGGATGCACCTTGGGACATTACGAGTCTTCCATGCGACAAGTGGTCAAGCACCTTGGCTTGGCAAAATTTGCATTGACACCACATGCAGTTCGACACTCAGGTCCATCTCAGGATTTTCTGAACAAGTCTCGAACTGCCGATGAAATTCAGGCTAGGGGTCGATGGAAGTCCCTTAGATCAATTCAAAGATATCGCAAACCAGGCCAAATGGTTGCCAAGATGAATCGCATTCCTGAACACATTTGGGTTGAAGCTCGTCAATCACTAAAGACAGTTTTGCGTGCTCTTAAACAATTCTATGGGGGCCGGTAGCCCCATGGTTTTCTCCTAAACCTTTGGGAACGGGAGCTGCTTGAACTGATGGCGTGTGATGCTTTTATCCATAAGTGTCGGGCAATTGCCTTTCAGTGTGGTCACTTTAGATTGGCTTGGATTGGCTTGATGGAGCCACCCATGTGGCTTGAAGAAGCCATCCTTTTCGTTTTCCGTTGGATCATTCATACCTTGCAGCTTCGATGCAAAAGGCGCTGTTGGGTTGGGCTGTGATGAGTGGATGATTGATCAACATATATATCACACATACATACATATATATATATATATATCACATATATATATATATATCACATATATATATATATATATCATATAAATATTTATATATATATATATATATCACATACACATATATATGATATATATATATACCACATATGTATATATAACATGTGTATACATCATATATATATATATCACATATGTATATATATATATATGACACACATATATATATATATCATATATATATATATATACATATATATATGTGATATATATATATATATGATGTATACACATGTTATATATACATATGTGATATATATATATATATATATCATATATATATATATATATTGATGTTCATTTATATATCCATATACTATTTTATATATGAATATCAATACTATTATATTATAATATATGGATATCCATATACTATTCATATATATATATATATATCCCCATGGATTAGTTTTTGTGCCCTGAATACAAGGCTCCCAATGCTGAGCACTGGTGCAGGTGCAGTGTTGTACACCATCCACAGCAAGATCTTAGGATGTCCGCGGCAACGTGGAATTGACAGGAGCTGGAAACATTGATCGTGGAATATCAGTGTCACAAGAATATCAACGGTTGTGTCCTGGTGAAGCCGTACTTCCTTTTCTTTTTTTTTGTTGCTACATGAAATCCACAAGAATTGCATGATCTTTCGTTTGTTTTCAAGGCACCGGAAGTTGGGTACGTTGATTTCACATTTTTTCAGTTTCAACAGCCACAGCGAGGATTCACCGACTCAAAGTGACCATGAAGAATACGGAAAAGTTGATCAGGCCCACTTTGATTTCACTTTGCGTTTGATTCGAGGGACACTTGCGACGTGAGTTGCGCATATGTCGCCAGGAAATCTGGCGATCAGTTTGGTCCATTGCATCGATTCAGGCAGAGCCATTGGACATGGGGTAGCCTATTAGAGAGGCTTCACATCGTGTCATGTGGTAAAAAAAACACCAAATATAAACGATCCCCAATACAATATGTATACAATAAATGGTGTGTAAAAACTATTTCAAATGGGAGCTTGACAACTTTTATTTTGTTTCCCATCCGGCGTGGCCGCTGTCTGCGTAGGAATGGACAATGCATCTCTTCCTTTTGCAATGACACATTCCGTGAGTTTGGATTCTTGGCACTTAAATCGTCATGGAATTCACCAGCATTGCTGCTCTATGTCAGGGAGCGTGGTAATTCCACCTGAAAGATTTATTGAACATGTTTGAACCACAAATACATCGCTTTCGACTGTTTTCATTTGTTTTTGACGTTGGCAACTGTTGAAACAGCGGCAGAACATGCCCCTGCTCTTGCGCAGTTTAGACATGTTTAGACTATATCTCAGATTTTGCCACACTCGTACTTCGAGTTTCCACAGATCCAAGGTTATACAGTTGGCTGCTCAACAACCTCTAGCGGACAGAGCAGCCCCTCGATCACTGATGAGGTCCTTACGTACGGGATGATCGGATGAGTCACTGAGCTGCCACCAGTATTTCTGCCGTCCCAGGTTATCCTTCACGTTCACATCCTGCATGGTATTCACTGCCGGGAGCATGTCCGAGTCTTCCCGAAGGGCAAAAGACAGAGAAGTGCCTGATCAAAGGGGCAGTGGTGGGCGTGTCTGAAAATGGAGTATAATTACAGTAGATCCCTTCCAAAATGGCAGTTTAATATACGTAGTTTGTAAAGGGGAAAATGGTGGTAATCGCTTGGAATTGGGGGGTACCCTGTCTCCACACAAACAGTCAGCGAGCTCACTGGCGGAATCTGGCACAGCGATCGGATGCCAGGGGTTGAAGGGGTTGTTGTTTTATGTTGTTTTGGCCAAAGGGATGCCAAAGGGATCTCAAGGCTACTGGGATGTAGTAGTTGCTAGCCTTGAATTTGTTGACATTCATAAACGTTGGACAGAGCTGTGAGCTTTGTCATTGCACCGACGTAAAAAAGAGTTGTTACTGGATGGTTACTTCTTGCTAGCGATTCAATCATGGTTTCATATATGGCGGTCCTAAAATGGGGGACCTCCATTCATCCAATCATCGCTATTTTGATGAGGGAAAAGCAATGGTGAAATGGGGTAATCGTGCCAATTTTCAGAAACACCCACTTTTTTTCCCTCAGTTGACCCAAAGAAGTTGGTAAAATCATGACTGTACCTGGTACATATCAGGGATATTTCGGGGGATTTATCCAGCTATCCATGTTTGATTACATAATTATATAATTACACAACTGGTTGGTGGTTTGGAACATGAATTTTACTTTCCATCCTATATGGGATGTCATCCATCCCACTGACGAACTCATATTTTTCAAGATGGTTAAGTCACCACCAACCAGACAAGATTACACATGTTCAATATTGTTCAATGGTCATTTTTTTCAGCAGCTTTTGGGTCCCACAAAACGGCACCGATCCGAGAGATCCCAGGTGCATTGCAGACTTTGCTGGCGGTGAATGCGCGGATCCCAACGGAAGTCACAGCTGCACCTACCACATCGAAGATGCAGGACCCAGGAAGGGCCCAGGAAGGGCCCAGTCCGACTGAAGGACTTGTTGGATGACTGTGGGACTTAGATGTCTGGTCGAAAAAAAAAAGGTGTGAAATGTTGCGGTATACTCTTCTCAAAATGCCTTGCCATGGATTTGAATATATATATATATATAACGGATCTAAGCGGGATTGATTTTGAATGGATTGAGATAGGAAGTGTGACGCTTGATGAGCTCAGCGGAAGAGACAACTCGTGACTGGGCAGGGCTAACGCGAAGCCATGGAAATCATGTGTTTCATGTATTAGCCATTAACCAGATTGTTTAAACCATGACCATACAGTCAATACAAGTCAATACATCGCAACAATGATCATGATTGTATATCATGTTACATCACGCTTGACCCTCAATTGACCCATCAATTGGTGTTGACAAAGTATTATATAGCACTTATTACCATTTTTTGTGGATCAATGATGGTCAAGGTGGTTGATTCTCATGATACATCATACGATTGTCCTTATCATTGCTAATTTTGCCCGAGTTTATCTGGGAGCTTTACTAAAAATAAATTTAACGACCCGAGTTGTTGGCATTGGTTTCAAAGCCTGGTATGTACAGTATGCTGCTCAGTGAAACAACTTATTTTGAATGCAGAAGGTCCTGGAATTGTGTCCAAGTTGGATTGATTTGTCTTGAGTCTTCCTTGACCCATGAAAAATGACCAAAGTACTTTAACTTTAAAATACTTTAAACAATTAGTATAGGCAAATACCGATTTTTCCGGGTCAACTCAGGGGTTGAAGCGAAATGTTCGTTCCGACTTCGTTATGACACCAAGGACGAGCTTGAAGGACTGGTGCGCAGCTGGAAATGTGGAGTATGACCCAGCGACGGATCGAGGAGTTCGCATCTCAGCCTAGCACTTCTCTAGACCTGAAGTAGGAACCGCAAGGAACCCCAAGATGTTTGGTGGAAAATTGACATGTACCGCATTTGCATGAATGCCGGATGTTTTGGTTAGGTTTTGGCTTTCAAACCTATACGGTCCATCATTCTGCACAGATCAAACAGTGCAGACGTATGCAGGGTGCTGGTAGCAGGTTGGGATGCACTTCTGGGACCAACTGAACAATGGCTCGGTTGGCAAGGACTGCTTCAAGTTTTTTGCCTGGCAGGGGCGAGGTTTTTCGAGATGTCATAGGTGCTAAACACGGACGATGTTAACAAGGTCAGAACACCCAGAAACTATGGATTTTGTTCACGTGGGCTTCACTCTATTATTCAGCTCCATCATGGCCAATCGATCTTCAGAAAACGGGCCAGGAGAGGATGTACAAGCCGCTTGGTGCCAAAGACCGAAGATGCACCAGTCCTGTAAGTCATTAGTTCTCGCAAATTGTGATGGGAGGCCACCGAAGAAGCAACGTTTTTAAGCCCACAAGAAACAGAAAAGTCACTAAGTCACTATGCATTTTTCGTTGGAACAGAGGTGATTCCTATTTTTCGTTGTAGAATAATACAGGTCGCCGAGATTCGCCACATGTCAGCACAGACCTGGCAACATGTCAGGTTGGCTTACCTCTTCTACAAGAAATATCCCTCCTTTCCGAGACGTTTGCCTGAGCCGTGTATGCGGACTCACTAGCCATTGATTGAAAAGACAAGGGGGCGTGAGACTGAGACCAGTGGAAGTTTCAAGATTGGGTAGCAACAAAAATTACTTTACTTCGTGTGATCCCCACCATGACATTTATACATTTTCTTACTGGCAAATCTTCTGGCATTCTATCTGACATATCTTCTGACATTCTATTTGGCCTTCTATCTGGCATATGATCTGGCATATCTTCTGGCATATCTTCTGGCATTCTATCTGGCATATCTTTTGGCATATCTTCTGGCATATTATCTGGCAAATCTTCTGGGATTCTATCTGGCATATCTTCTGGCATATGTTCTGGCATATCTTCTGGCATTCTATCTGGCATATCTTCTGGCATATTATCTGGCAAATCTTCTGGCATTCCATCTGGCATTCTATCTGGCATATCTTCTGGCATATTATCTGGCAAATCTGCTGGCATTCTATCTGGCAAACATTCTGGCACTTTATCTGGCATATCTTCTGGCATTCTAGCTGACATATCTTCTGGCATTCTATCTGGCATATCTTCTGGCATATATTCTGACATATCTTCTGGCATTCTATCTGGCATTCTATTTGGCATTCTATCTGGCATATCTTCTGGCATATCTTCTGTTATTCTTTCTGACATTCTTTCTAACTTTCTTCTGCACATTCTTTGTCCCATATCTTCCTACATGAGGTCCGGCAGGGAACACTTGGCGTGGATGGTCGTGGTTGAGGTCCGGCAGGGAACACTGGGCGTGGATACTCGCGGTTGAGGTCCGGCAAGGAACACTGGGCGCGGATGGTCGCGGTTGAGGTCCGGCAGGGAACACTGGGCGCGGATGGTCGTGGTTGAGGTCCGGCAGGGAACACTGGGCGCGGATGGTCGTGGTTGAGGTCCGGCAGGGAACACTGGGCGTGGATGGTCGTGGTTGAGGTCCGGCAGCGAACACTGTGGATCGCGGGTCGCAGTTGAGCAAGGACGACGAGGACGACGAGGAGGACGAGGAGGAGGAGGAGAGGAGGAGGAGGAGGAGCAGGAGGAGGAGCAGGAGGAGGCAACTGACATAAAATCTAACAACCCTCACCTGGCAGGCGGGGAACAGAAATCCCATGCTTTGAAATATCATTTCCCCATTCCCATATTGTTTTGATGGCAATATTTGAGATAAAGGCAAATGAATTGCAAAGATGCTCAATTGAATTGGATGATTGGCTAGATGATTTAAGGGGTCAGGAACCCCCATTCCATCCCATTGTCGAAAGCGTTTCTACACTGAAAGGCTGACGTCAAAAGGGTGAAATCCCCATTGAAGTCATGACTTTCTCCACTAAAAGATGGCCATAGATTGAGGCTCAATCCCTTATGAATATCATATTTAAGGATATATTTGGATATATTTGGCACCCATAAGTTCAGAAGTTCGGAAAAAAAAAACGAGAAAAAAAAACCTAAAATGATCCTTTTCTCTGTTGATTTCTGATTTTCCTTTCTCGGGACCCAGCCCTCCCCATGGCACCATGGCAGGCCTTGCACAGCGTGGCAGGTGGCACCGGCAGCGGCTTGGGATCCTTTGTCCTCAGCGCCGCGACCTGCCATCACTTTGTCGTTTTTGGACGGTGAAGGCACCAGTTGTTTTTTTTTTCTAAGGATGTTTTGGATAGAGGCAGTTTGTTTGTTTGTTTGTTTTTGTTTGTTTTTGTTTGTTTGTTTTTTTGTTAAGAGGTGCTATAGGGTCACATGTTTTTTTTCGTTCAGGTTTTGTTTGTTGTGTGTTTTTTAGACAAATGCCAAAGGCATGGAACACCACCCAGGTAGATAAATTGGTATATCGTGTCATCAAGCAACAGAGCGGAAGCGTCGATGATGGTATGTTATGAGACATTGTAATGACAATCAACGTTGACTGAGAGTGTAGTGATTCTGCTTTATTTTTCTTCAAAAGTTTAAATAAGATGTTTGGACATGTTTGGACCATTGTTCAAGTGAACCAATGCCCATGTACAGAGTGGGTTCTATGGGGTTGATCTTGAGTGTGTTATACAACCTATAGATTGCATTGCTTAATTGCCTTATTGCGCACTTGTGTTTTTATTTGGTTAAGAGTTAAGAGGTAAGATCATTTGGGAGAATAGTGACCCATATCAAGTAATGGTAATCTGACAAGAAAGCTCAGAGTTTCGAAGTTCCTGGTGTTGTTCTAGTTTCGCCTCCGCGATGCGTTTCCCAGGTGAGAGATGCCTTCCCTTCAGCGGTGTTATCGTCGCTGTCCGTATGGCCCTTTCGGACAGGAGAGGTTCGAAACCTGGAAAGTCCCAAGCAAGTCATGTCCCAGTCGGAAAACAATGGGTGACATTTCTATGACCAGTGAATCTATAATCATCAGTGAATCTAATGCAAACATATTCATCAGTGAAATTGCTGATTGGTGGTTTGGAACATGGCTTATGACTTTCCATATATTGGGAATAATCATCCCAACTGACTTTCATATTTTTCAAGATGATTAAAACCACCTTAAGCAGCATTTATATGACCCCAGATGACCCCCATGTTTCGAGGTACAGTTGGTCTGGGTAGTGGGAAACAAACTCGTTGTAGGTCAGTGTGCAGTGCTACAACGCTGCTTTGTCGTTGCCTTGGTGATGCAGCCGTGTTGGGATAGGCGATCCATGGCGATCCAAACGTCCTTCCAAGGACGCTTTCCTCCATCTATGAGCACACGGTCCGGGAACTTATCGAATTTTCCCTGCGATCTTTTCAACATCTCAAAGAGATGATTGGAAAGAGAACCACACATAACTCATCTTAGAGTTGGAATTAAGTTGACTTAAGTTGAAGATATTTCAAGGGCCGGGCCGACTGGAGAGACTCTTTTTTGATCTCTTGAATTTCCCCAGCAACTCCCAAGGACAAACTGGACTTGGGGGCTTAGGATTTGTCGGTGATGTGTGAGAATGAGGGCTACTTGGAGCTATGCCGTGTCCTGCCCCAAACCCAGGTCCGTTTCTGCGGAAACATGTTCAAAACATTTCAAAACAAGTCTAAACCATGGGATGGAATATGTGGAATGGGATGTGTTTATTTATATTTATATATATATGCATATATACATACACAATTTTCAGAGAAACCATGACAAATTCATGTGTACTGTAGTTGCAATATGTCAGAATGCCTCAAGTGCAACTGGGTCCTGCTGTAGATCTCAGGAGCAAGTCTGCAGTTTTCCTCTTTTCCAGGTATATAAACTCATTGAGCCAGTGACCATCATGATCCCAGCCCCAGTATCTTGCATCCATTGATTCTTGGCCCACTATATATGACAACAGAAACGTCATGTTTTATTATATGATATTATCCAAAAGTGGGCTATCCAAGCCAAAAGCCATATAATTGGATATTCTATGATATAAAAAATGCCCTTTAATCCAATGGCGCCAGCTATCACTTCCCAGCACCTTGGTTCCCTTGCGGATCCGCACCCCAGGTTGGGTCAAGAGCGCCCATCCTTGGATTCCCTGAACAGCGCCATGTCTGGCAACTTGGTCATGGACTCACCACCGCACCACGGCACCGAACCCAGGGGTAATGATGGCAGCTGCCGGCAAAACGCCGAGGTACGGGTGATGATGCCTTGCGGATCCGTGCCGGATGCTTAGGGCCTTTGGGAAAGATGTCATCATGTTGTGGGTTTGGAATGGTAGGGGACTGTACCCAAAAATGTCCTGGGATTTATCCGATGATGATTTCCCCATTCAAATTGTTTATGGATTGGGGGTTAGCTTGTTTTGGGGACAAACCCACGATGCAAACTGGACACTGCACCACCTTCCATTTTGTGACCCATGATTGGGAATCCATCTGTTGAATCCAGTTTTTTTGTATCTTTTCGCTTGCGATTATTCGGACTGGGTAAAATTTTGTTAATTTTAGTATATGTCCCAAAGTCCCAAAGAATTTAGTATTATATTATATGTGCCACACAAAATATATGTATATGTGAGTATAGCATGCACGGAGCATGTTGATACGAAAATCTCGTGTGCTGTGCTGAGGCACAAACTCTACGGTCCTGGTTGCCCACTGCTGCAACTGGCAGGACACCTTGCTGCGCATCCGTCAGAAGCTTAGAGCAGGTCCTACAGCACCCGGTCATGTTGGGTATGTCTGGAATTTTCGGGAAACAACAAACTAAAAGCCATTGGTATGATAAAATATTATAAACATGTCAAATGTCTAAAACATTATGAACACCATTGAACACCTAATATTCCCGCTTTAAATGGCTGTATAGCCCGGTCACTTTTTTGCCAGCCTTGCCACTCAGGCTTTATCGTTTGACCACGGTGTCAGGGCCTCAAGGGCCCTCGGCTTCAGCAACATCTTCCGTGGGAATCCCTGAATCGAGAGGCGGGCCTTGCCGCAGATCAGAAAAGGTGCAGAGGTGCCATGGCCAGGTTTGGATCTGGTGGAGTGGGGGGTGACTTAATTTACCCTCTGGTAATTTAACATATAGCTATTGAAAATGGCCATTTATAGATATTTATAGTGGATTTACCCATTGAAAATGGTGATTTTCCATAGTTATGTTAGTTTACCAGAGGGTACCATAAATTTCAGGTCTATTTCATCGCAATGTAATGGAGTCTGTTTGAAGGATATCGGATGGGAGCCCATAAATGTGAAGCAACTTGGCCGTGTTCTTGAAAAGCCTTCACTCTCGGTTGATACATAAAAGTTGGTAAAGGCACTAAATTCATTAAATACGATTTTTTCATGGGTCAATTGAGCGAATTTATGGTCTAGGTAGATCTTAATCACGATTCTTTATCTGAATATATAAATCATTGTTTGAATCCATGAGAGCGTGGGAAGAATATGCGAAGAGGCCAAAACCAGACTAGAAGATACTAGAAGCCCCTTCTGAGAACGATTGTTAATTATTCAGAATGAAAGGTGGATTGGAATGATCTGTGGATCGGGTCAATTCAGACATATTGAGGTATCCATGAAAGGATTCATAAGAAATTTGGAGGTATATACGTATACAGTATACAGTATCCAAACTACGACTCAATATGGTCTCCAATATGGCTCGATTTTTCAGGATGGGCTACTTGCGGGGTGCATTTCCACAAATAATTAAGTGAGTGTTTCACTGCCATAGTCGTAGGGGGCCCACGTCCCATCTTATGGAGGTTTTTATCATAGTCATAGCCATGAAACAAACCCCCGGTACACTGTTCAGCTCCCAGAATCCCCGCGCTTAACCCCGTCCGGTACTCCAGGCGTTCACCTCAGATGCTTGGACCGCGCTCCAAAGGCGTGAAGCGTTCTTCACAGTTCGCCGGAAGGGACTGAGGGACTTGATGTGGAGAGAGGGATTCAGCTGATTAGCTGATTCAGCTCCTTTTTTAAGGGACTTGAGACACCTTTTGATTTGGATGATTCAAATAATTGGATATAGATGGTGATTGTTCAAACATTGACTGATTGGATCCTGGGACCCCAAACAACTATGGTAGTGAAGAATCCCTACATGACAAATAGTAGGGGAAACTCGGGGAAACCACCATTGATTTGTGTTTTTCGGCGTTCTGGGGTGATAGGTATCTTTCTCCTCCGAACCTGAATCAATGGTGTTTCAAATTTGTTTTCAGCGATGTTGCGGGAAGAGCCGCAGTTCGAGGATGCTGAAGGCATTCACTTGCGTATTGTGGTTCCATGTGGTTCCAAAACACTTTGGAACCAGTCAGCTTCGGTATCTTTGAGATCTTGCAGCCGCATTAATCTGACAGAAAAAGCCGGTTGAGGCTCCGCTAGTCATTGCCAGGCCAATGGAATATCCGCATTTTCTATACACGAATATTGAAGAATGATTGAAGAATGACTACGCCCTGGATGAACAATCTCCCCTTCCCCATCAGTCAACAGGGTGAACCAGGTTTTTGGTGGGTACTCCACCCCACCTTTTTCACTGGAGGCGGATGTTGCAGCTTTGTGAACATGGCACCATGGTGGACAGGCATGGTCCATGGAATCCCTTGGCACTGGCCATGGCGGCCATGGTGGAGATGTTTTGGGCCTTTGGGCCCAGAAGTTCAAATTTGAGAATGCGGTTTTGAAGCTTCGAGTGGACCTGGTCACTTCTTTTTCACCTGATGGTAAGCGCCGACACAACAAAGTTGCCACTGATTTGTTGAATTCGATTTGTTCAAAATCGAAATACATAGATCATCATATAGATCTAGGTTCTATATGGTTCTACATGGTTCATCATGGTTCTATATTCTAAAACGATCTTTTAAGACAACAGCTGCAATGAAATGCTGGCTGAAATGCAACGGCTCCAGTGGATCCGGCCGGCGCCAGGCCCAGTGCCTCTCCAGAGGTGCGGTTCCTGCAGTTCCATCCACGGATATGACGGATATCATTGGATATCATATCGATATGTATCATTGTACCCTCTGGTGAACTAACATAGCAATGGAAAATCACAATTTTTCATGGGAAAATCCACTATAAATGGCCATTTTCCATTGCTATGTTAGTTCACCAGAGGGTATATCATATTGATATAACTTAAGATATCATTGAATAATATAATTGAACAATATTGGAAATATGTAGTGATCATTATGATATATGGATGTATGATGATGGATGATTCAAAAATTGAAGTGGATATTTGATTGAACTGAATCGAACCTGAATGCTTTTAAACTATATTTGATTGAATTCAAATTGGATCTGTGACTTCTTTGAACATCTTTGAAGCACGCCATGCAGGCAATGCACTGTCGCACCGTTTCCGCTGCACACTGAGATGTTGTAAGATGTCGTCCACGACTGGTGTGTTGAGTCCTCCAGGACGTCGCTGAGGCCTCCACCTTTCTTTGGGGCGATGGTGCGACGGATGCCTCGCTGGAGCCGGGTTGGGTTTCCATGATTTTCATGGGGAACATGAGGATTAACCAATGGATGCAGAGGCAATGGGGTTTTCCCGAATTTATCAGAGCCAAATATATTTGAGAACACACAAATCCATTGAATCCCATTGACACAGGGAAACGAACACTTTCGGAATCACAAGCTTTGGGTAGACATCTTTAGGGTGAGGATTTTCCATGATTTCCCCATGCCTTTACAGTCGGTGCTTTCGAGTTCTCCGTTGCAGTAATGCCCCCAGGAGCCTTTGCGCAGGATGCCCTTGTGGCAACACTCTGTCGACGGGATGCAGGCACACCAGGTCAGTTACATATTTGTTCTATATGTGACCTATAAATGCTATCATATATACACATTATATATGATTATGCATATATGCATATATATATATAATTATATATATAATATATGATATGTTAATATATATTATATGACTACTATACCTAATTAGTAGCTGGGATGAACATCCAAGAATCCAACTTGTGGCCTTTAAGTTATTTAGATTTATTGAGTATCATATATGTATTGAGTAACGAGGACAATTATGATCAGCTATGGGATGGAATGGGCTCACTGCTTGTGAACTGATGTGCGGTACCTTGACCCTCAGTTGACCCATGGATCAAAGTACTAAAGTTATGATAACCATCAATTTGTATGGGTCCATTGATCCTTGTCTACGGTTCAAATGGAGCCTTCGAAGTCTTTAGGATTCCCGCAGTGCGACTGATTCCCACATCGAATCGTTGCAGGTTCACGCTGATGGGCATCATGCTGGAAACCCAAGGGTTTTTCAGCAGTTGAGGAGGTTCAGTTTGAGCGTCCAAAGGTCGCCGCTGAGCCAAGGTTGGAGGCCTCGAAAGGAGTTTGGGCATCGTCAGCAATTGTCAGGCAGTTTTGCCCAGAGCCCAGTAGCACACCTCTTGGCCTTGGCCGTGCATCTCCAGATGGCCCGTGTAAGGCCGGCCCTATGCTCAACCACCAGTCGTGCAACATCAATGTTACGGGCATCCGCCTACTTGCATCAGTGCGCCACATCCTCCGTTTCCAACAGGGGAAACCTTGGCTGGGTATGTAATTACTGGATATTACTGGAATCTTTGCTGCAAGGGGTGTATGCTAACCGGCCAAAAAAACAACTCCATTTTTCCTGGGGCATCTAAAGTTGGGAGTGTACACACCCTTTGCTTAGGGGTTGCTACGGTAGCCCATGTCAGCCATCTGTTTTGATGTCCATGCCATGCATCTACAGTTGGCCATGTCCTAATCCTCCATTCGTCCTGACCCAACACACAGGGCCAAATCAGAATTAGACATATTATGACATATTATCATATGCTTATAACTATCATATGATACCTGTTTGTAGCCAAGTATACCACATGATGCGCCACATGGCTGTGATACGTCCAATGTCCAAGCAATGAGTCGATAAACAATATTCCTACATTTTTTACATGAGTTAAGGCATATACGCATTCCATAACACTGCATGGACAGGATGTGTTCTGTGCGCAAGCCATGCAAGGTATGAGCGTTATGGCTTGAGCCGAGATGAGATGAGTGAGGCCCACCGATGACGGCCGATGGTTGATTTGGAAAAAAGGTTGAGTTGAGGGGATCTGCAGTTTGGATGTTTCGTAGGGATCTGTCAAATTCCAACTGCCCAAGAATAAACAGAACGAAAGTAAGACCTCCTATTCCTATCTTAGGCTTCAGCCAATTTTCCATGTTTCAAGGGGCGTTTGCCAGGCCATTTTGGTAATGTTGCAAGCCCAACACGACTACGAGCAGCTCTCGGCTTCGGGCTGAAGGATTTGAAAGGGCACCCCCCAAGCAGCGACCACGCGACCCCAAGCGATCACTCCCGTGGTCAGCATTGATTCTTCCTTGGTTTCGGATGGTTTCGGTGTGTCCGAAAACAGCCAGTTGTGCTCCACACTGGTTTCACAGTTATGGCTCCATGATGGATCAGCACAAAATGAAGGCAGTGTGAGCGGGGATGTGCCGTTTGTGAGCTTTATCATTGTATGAGGGCTCAACTTTAACTGAGACCGTAGGATACTGCGGCTAAATCCAAGCTAGTCTTTGCGGAAGACATTAAGATTAGCATACATATAATTATAATATATTATAATTATATATATATAATATACATACAGCATTGTATATATGAAGTGACTGGATTGAACATTTGTGTTCAGTTGATTCAGTTCCAAGGGTTTCATATCCAGACATGCCCTGGAGCAGATGCCTCTTGTCCGAACTCGCTGTGGCCACATTGGCTCAGTCGCTTTACCGCTGCCCAGCAGACCAAGGACTGAAAGGGCAGTGTCAGGCTATTGATGTTACACTGGCTCTAGGAGCACCGATTTGGCAAAAGGATGATGTATATATTTGTACAGGATAGACATATATATATATACCATATATATATATATATATATACCATATATATATATATATATATACCATATATATATACCATTATATACCATAGTCGCTTTACCGCTGCCCAGAAGACCAAGGACTGAAAGGGCAGTGTCAGGCTATTGATGTTACAATGGCTCTAGGAGCACCGATTTGGCAAAAGGATGATGTATATATTTGTACAGGATAGACACATATACATATATATATATATACCATATATATATATATATACCATTATATACCATATATATATATAGGCAGATAATTCAATAAAATTATGATAGTCACAGCATCTTTCCGTCAGTGGGTTCTCCTGGAAGTCGTTGACAACCGCTTCCCCTGCAGGAGGGCGCGGTCATGGGTGGCACAACCAGTCATCCAGACAGGCCCAAAAGTTCAGTTGGATCAAGCAATTTCAGATCGAAGGGACCGGACATGGTTTAACACGGTTTAAAATGGTGTGTAATCATTTTTCAGTATTAACTTCAACCATTTCACCACCCAATTTTAGGGGTACTCAGTTTAATCCATACCCATGCAATGGATCAATGGCACACCGTTTCACCGTTTCTGCTCGCTGCCTCCGAGCCAGAGCCAATTTGGTTCTTGGGATCCCACTCTTCTCGCATGTCTTCAAGTCAGTTTGAATGTTGCAAGATTCTTTCAGCCGCAGTGAAAATTGTTGAGATGGAACACAGGTCTCGCATATTCTCAATCCTCAATACCATTCGGATGTTTTTGTTGTTGGGATTTCCTAGCTGCCTAATCGACCGCGCCATGGGAGCCCTTTACTTTCTTGGAGTTCTCTTTTGCGCGTCGCATGCTTCGGCATTGGAGTTCCCACCACGCTTCACATTGGATCTTAGAAAGCCGCCCCTGCAGAGTGCCTGGGTGTAACAGGCTCTTGGGATCGGATGTGAAGGTACCCAGTGGTATCCCAGACTCTGGTTGATTGTGTCGATTTTTGGATTGTTGGATATTTTTGGGGTTATATCCCATGTTTATCATTTATCCATTTTCAGACAAACCCGTTGTTGAGACATGTTGGGTCTGGGTCCAGTCGGGCACAGGATTGATCAAGAAAGAAGCTGAAAGGCCTACCATGGTAATGTCACAGTGTTCCAATTTTCGTAAGCTTTTATACAATATGCAGTCCTGATTTTTGCGCCTTTGAAGAGGCACTTGCACCGGGCAACATGCGCCGTTCTTCGCTGTACCAAAAGGTTCCCAAAAAAAGGAAACTTGAAACAATCACTATCACTAGCGTCACCAGATAGCTCCAGTGCGATTCTCTAGATAACAATCTTCGTGCTACAGGAGTTGCCATTTTGATCCATGTTGCTCAAAGTTCGCTGCCGAACCCACTCACATCATGGCTGGCGGCTGCCAACACCGCGTACAGATGGTGAGGATCATTGCTTTGATGGCCCCTTTGCCAATGGAGTAGTGCGGAGAATCGTTCAAGGCAGCTCTGTGAGGAGGAAAACCAGGCTCAAAAATTGCGAGGATGTGAGGATGTTGAGCTTGCAGTTTAAGCTGGTTTGGTAAATACAGGAAGGTGGCCGCCTATTGGTTATCAACCCATCTGACTACAGTGAGAATCGCCATAGATCACCAGAATTCCTAGTCAAAGTATGTCAAAGTTATTTAATTAATATCTATATAGTGATAAACCAACCTAGCCAACTATGGGGCACTGTGTTGTACCAGCATTGCTCGTAGTGTGCGAACCACACCAGGTCTTGATTCAGCAAAGAGCTCGCGTTGAGCTTCAGACTACGCGTGATGTATGTGATGTGCAACCGTTTCCATGTGACAACGACTTGGTGGACAACTTCCCCCTGCAGGCCATCAATTCCCAAGGGAATGACTGCCCAATCGGGGTATCTACCATCAGCAAGTTGAACCTGGACACCGGCATCTATACAGCTCTCTGTGAGATCCCAGCTGTTTGCCTCAATGCTTGCGGCCTTAGCCCCGTTGATCATGCCATCTATTGCGAAGTCATTTGGGAGTCCGCCCCACCGGCTCCGATTCGGCAATTTGCTCGTGTGAATTGTCCCTTTGACCCAGCAAACCAAGCTGCCACAGTCGCCGGGTCCCTCTGCTATTTTGGCACCATCGCAGCTTCCTTTGCTGGAGCCTTTGACGCAGCTGGAACGTATTACTATCGGAACGGGCCGCTTGTCCGCGCGATTACGGCAGCAGAGATCGCTGGCTTCGTTGGCGATGCCAACCCAATCACTGGTGCCACGCAGCAAGTTCGAGACGTGGAGAATGCAGGAAATACCATCAGACAAGTGAATGCTCCACCGTCTCCTCTAAATTCACTGTCTGACTTTGTGGTGGCCGGCATGTGCTGGAGATGTTTGTTTTGTTTTGAAATCGGTAACAGTAATCCAAAAAGATTAGGAATCTATACTGGAAAGATGTGTTATTTTCAATATGTTTTAAGTTTCAGTTGATGGTTTCCTGGATCATAGCAAATCCAAGGTAGTACAAGCAGGTCCAGGGGGTTCTGCCGGGACCTACTTTGTCAGCTGCGTTGGGTTGGCGACCTTGTAGTAGTTGCCTCCATCTCAAGCCCCACACAAGCACAGATAACTTTGAGCATGACAGGTGATGACCCAATTGCAGGAGGAACCCGCCCCGATTCAGGTGCACAGTGGGACTTCTCGAATCGGGTCTTCTGTGCCTACAACAGTGGAACTGGAGTATTTGAAATTTCCCTGTCTCAGGCAGATGTAGGCGGCCTGACGGTGCCTTCTACTAGAGTCAGTCCGTCTGCGCCCACTGGGTCAAACGATGGGATGAACTGCATCACCGTGGACGCTCCGTTTACCACCACCACCAGCACCACCACAAAATCAGGTGGGGCTGCAGGGGACCCTCACATTTCTACACTTGATGGCAGGCACTACACCTTGATGCGGCAAGGAAACTTCAAACTCTGGGGATTCAGAGGACCAGAATTCCAAACGCCCCACCAGTTGAAGGCCTCTGCAAACTGGCAGCTACTGGTACACTACTCAGGGGCCGCTTCCTTCATGAAGGGCCTGCTGCTTCTGGACAAGTCATCTGCGCCGCACCAAGCCCTTCAAATGACGTCCGAAGATTGCACCTGGCGCAGAACAGTCCAGAATCCTTTGAAACAGACGCCTGCATGGTCCGTTTGGTCCTTGGATCCTGCGGAGGAGTCTGTGGAACGTGTGACATTGATGAGCTTGACAGATGAGATTCACAAACAGCCTGTCCACCCCACGAATTCTGCCAAACGAGTTTCCTACTTGAAACTCTCCCTGCACACGGAGGAAGGGGTGGTGACCGTTGCAGATTTAAAAGTGATTTGCAGGGTGGGGCATCAAGTCAACACCAGAGTCAACATGCATCGCCTTAGCGACATGCAGTTTGTGGAGGGTCAAATAGCGCCAGGGCGCCAACCGCGGCAAGGAGATGAGGACCGGGCGCAGGGGTTGCATGTTTTGTCCATGTGTTATTTTGTTGTCACCATGTTTTCATAGAATATAATGAATAATTATAGAAATTCTAAACAGATCAGAAAGGATCCTACATAAATATACTTAATTATAGGCAAAAAATAATCTCAAACAATAACCCACGCTAATATAATAAGAAATAAGAACTGTTGTTTGTCTACACCTGTCTTTCTTTTTTTGGTTGGTACTTTGTATTCGGGATGATGATCCGAATCCAAAATGACTCACAAGTTTGGGAAGGCTTGAACGTTTGAAAGCGCCAGCCAGAGGAACAACATTTCACAGAAACATGGGCAGAGCTGGGTGGCAGCCAGCATGCAGCTCTCTACTTGTACCAGTCTGACGTTACGCCGGGCGCCATGCTGGCATCTACAAGTTGTGCAGAGGAAGAGACTTTCAAAGCATCCAAAGTTTGTGCCAAGCATTTCAGCCACTTGAACATCCCAGAGACACACGATGCGTTCCAAGATTGTGTCTTTGATGCTTGCCGTGGAGATGCGGAGGAGGTTGCTGATCTTGCAGCAGAGATGCTGATAGATTAGTTGCATCTAGATGCTGGTGCCGTTGAATGACCAATGGTGCTGACATGCTGCTATGTAGCAAAGCGGCAAGACAGGATTTGCATTTGAGCACTTGCCCTTGGGCAATGCAATGATATGCAATGTATAGTGAATTAATGTACTGTATAAAGATTATACTAATTTACACGCTCATTTCGGCTTCGAAATACGCCAGATCCAACATTGTGCAAAGACACAAGATATTGAGTTGCGCTCTGAGATACTTTTACTGCTGCATTCTTGAACCAACACCAGCAATTGTTAGAAAAACCTTTCTGACCCAATTGACACCGAGGGTTTCTTGTTTACCAGCCCGTGCTGCAGGAAGGGGCTCCCTAGATAGTGCTTTTACACCTATAGTTGGATAGGGTTATTGTCGTATTTCGGCATGACCTAGCAGTGGATTTCATATATCCCAACGTTTTGTGCCTGTTGCTTGTTCCTTCATCCGATCCAGCAAAAAAGCACGGGGGCTTTACACCAGACTTCAAATGATTGGTGAACAAGTCTACTGTGAAACCACCGCAAGCAGACTTACGAGATGACTCAGGATGGAACGGAGCATTGGACTTGATTCTATCAAAGCATCGCTATGAAGAGTCCTTTCTGCCTGTCTTCCAAGAGCACAACAAGCCACTAGCACAGCGTGCCGATTTCGGATTGGAACATCTTGGAGCATTGTTGGAATCCGGGAATCCTGAAGTTGTCGTAGACAATGTCACATCCGAAACCACCCATAATTTCCATGCTGGGAATTTAGTGATGCCAGCCTGGCCAGCATATCAAGATCTTCTTGTCACGAGAAGAAGGACCAGAAAAATCAAGCCTGCAAACTACAAGGGATGATTTTTCTTCTGCATAAGAAATAAGAGCCAATGACACATCAACAAATATTAGCGAATTTAGCAAAAACATGGATTACTTAGACCCTCCAAGTGCCCAAAAAAAAGGGCCAAAAGTCTCAAGTCCAGACTGGGTGTGTTACCCATGTTTCGCAGCTCTACTCCCAAACGGCTGAGGACGCTTTTCAATCACCTTGAGCCATCCCACTTTGAGTCTTTGGGCAGGGCGGTGCCTAGCCATGCTTCAGAAGTTTCGGACAAAACCTCGGTGCTGACGCCCAGGTTGGCCATGCTTTGAAAGATTTAAAGGTCAGGTGGAGGGAATTATCCACTAATAATGAGATAATACTGGATATAGTGGGATATAGAACCAACTGAACATGCTAATTGGGTCTGCCCAAAAGAATCAGGATATCCGAAAAATGCTGCTTTTATTGGGATCATGAAACCTTAAACCACGGGATGGACGCGGGGTGCCCAATTTTTGGACGAACCTACTTGGAATGATAGGTAGGAAGGGGAATCATCCCCAAATGGCCTTACTTCACACATTTTGGGTTAGTGAATTCTGTATAATTACTGCATATATATATATATGTATGTATTATTATTATTAATTATTATTATCATTACGATTTTTAATTTTATTATTATTAGTAGTATTATTATTTATTTATGTATTTAATATTATTATTGATTATTATTAATTCTGATATATATATAATTATTTATTATTTTTTTGTTTTTTTATTATTAGTATTATTATTAGTAGTAGTATTACTATTACTGTATGTTTATTATTATTAAAATTGCTATTATTTAGCCAGATAATTCTGAGTCATGTGGATCTTGCATGGTAGGCCTGCATGTCTTGCTGCATTTCTATTTACTTGAAAATGAGATACACCATTCCATCCCATGGTTGATTATACTATCATGTTTTTTCAATTGCTCATTCAATTGGGAACTGTAAAATACGGACTCATCGCTCATGTTTGGTCAGACCTGTATTAACATAGTTATTTATATTTTATCCCATAGCATATCACACATTTTTTCAATGTCAAATCCGCAAATGTTCAAGGGTCAGTGCCAAACAACACTGCCCCATAAACGGGTAGACACACTAAAGCATGGGCTAAACTATGAATCTAAATGAGGTTTCATGGAGTGTCCAATTGTAGGGGTTGCATTATACCCCCATCTTATCTTGGTTAGAATCTCATAATTATACCACATTATAACCATGAAACTAACCCCAAGGTGAAAAGCCTGAAGTCTGAAGCACGCCTCTTTTCAAGCCGGGGGGTGTGGAATGTCGCCAGGTGCGGGCAGGAGCGTACGTTTTTAGCCCCGCTTGGTGCCGGCACTCCCATGGTCAAGTCAGACCAACCTGGCACAACCTTGATCAAAAATTCCGGAGAAAGTATACATGTATGTATATGTCAAATCTCAGCGCCTGATGAACGCTGACTGAATCAAAATGTGCAACTGTTCTGGTATTCAGTTTTATGAACTCAACAATCGCATTCAATACCAAGGTCAAAAATTCACTGACTCACATTCAGTGAGAGAAATGGTAATGAAAAGGAAGGCAAGATCCCTCGAGAGGAAAGAAATCGGCACAATAAACTCACACCACATGTTGACATGAAAGAAAGGCTCATCTTGGCAACGGGTGTTGCTTGTAACCCGGTCATTTCCAGCAAGCCACCAATCCCAGCAGTATCCCGGCTCAAAATGTAAAGTGCAGAGATGTATTCACATGCATCACTGATGGGCCAGGGAAGCAAAGATGTTTTGGATGCCAATGACAAGATTGAAGCGAACAGAAACCCCGCCACAAAAGCACAAATCGCCAAACTTCCAGTCACTCGGGTGGGCAAGGCCACTGATAGCCCATGAGAGGAAATTCAGAGCGACGGTGGAGACATGCCCAGCTCATCCCTCACGAAACTGAGTACAGCAGCCGTGCGATCTTTCAATCCACGGGGCACTCCGAGGTTTTCTTTGTGCAAAAAATCACTAGTTTGCTTTCCTGTGAGGCTCTCCGTCATGGAAACAATGTCATCCCAGGACTGAGGGTTGAACTCAGCATCGAAATCTTGAAAAAGCTTCCGCGACAAGCGTTTTTGCAGTGGTTGTAACTCATGATTTGTCCCTTCAGTCACACTCACTGGCGTCACCGAGGCCGCTGCACGTGCCGAAGATCCGGTTGCCAGTTGAAGGCGCTCCATCATTTTTGCCTCCAGATCTTTCAGCTGCTGGGCCTTAGCCTGTTCTTCTTCTGCTTTTTTCATTTGATCACGAAAACTGCGGAGTTCATGTAATTCCTCTTTCATCTTTTTCATCTTGTGATTTGGCTTTTCAGGGGTGGTCTCAGGTGTCGTCGTATCAGAGTTGTCCCCAGCTGTGTGACGGCGGTGGCGCCGACGTCGCCGTCTTTCAGGCCCCTCTGACTGTGATTGTGCCATCTGTTGGCCAGCCAGAAAGCCACGCTCAAAAGAAAAAGACGAAGAAGAAGATGAGAAGGGTTTTCCTTTCTGCCAACCTTTCCCTGACCGGTAAGATCCTTTGTCATACCCCTGGGAGCCTTTGGAAGACCAGCCTGTCCACTCATTTGAATTCCACGTAGCATCGGCCGCGACTACAAAGCTGCATGCCAATAAGGTAAGCAGGCTCAAGCCACCAAGCTTGGGAAACATGAGCAGGGGCCAGTCAAATCAAAGAGGACAGATCCACCTATTTCTTGGCAAATTGGAGAAACTCACGGCTGCGGATGGCTTTCCTCAGAAACCAAATGTGCTGTTTGAGGTGCGGTCGAGAAATTGTGAATAGGACCTGACAGATTTGCCGTTTTGACCAACCAATTTCGAGCAACCCAACCAGGATGTTCATCATATAAATACGCACCGCTCTGTCGGTTGATGACACTTCAGCTGCACGGAGAAGGGCGCCCAAAATTAGTGATCGCAGAAGCACAGGGTAAGTACCCCAAGGTGGGGGTGTAGAAAACTTTCGGGGTTTTGGGAAAATTTCACCAGTAAAACAATCAACAACCATATCAAGCCAAGTAACAAACCGGTCCGGAGCAGCAACTTTGAAGTTCACGCAGTAAACAATAGGCAAAAGTTCGCACATACAGTTGCGACACAGGAGTCGTGAGGCAAGAAGGACATCATCAACATACCGCAAATGCAGGCAGCAGGAGGGCCAGGAGCGATCTGAAAAAGGGAAACCATGCGCAAAGCGACGAGCTTGATTTTTTAGCCAATCCTCCTCTTCTGTAGCCAGAACTGCAGATGTTGCCACTTTAGACATTAAGCCCCCTATGGGCAAACCTTGCATTTGTGCAACAAGATGCCCCACCGAAACCAAGCACACACACATAGCCCCGAAGAAAGCACGAAGAATATCTTCTAGGGAAAACCAGGAATAAGCACTGTTCTGGCCCCCGGGTTTTGTTGACAAAAATGCTCTTCTTCGCTTTCTGCGGCCTACTGCCACGTGCGTCCAACCTGCAAGCCGTGCCTCCAAGACTATATTACTCAATGCAAAACAAGCTTTTTCTGAGCTCACTTCTTCGTAAAACTGACCAGCATCTGCAACCACAACAGTCAAGGCATTTTTCCTACAACAGCACCGCGCACATAAGTTTGGATTTTCACCAACCTGTAAGAAGGCCAACCCGTCTTTTAATCGTTTTGCGGCATCACGAAGACCCCAAGTTTCAGCACCAGGTCTCATTTCCTTGACAAGGAGTTCTGCACACCTGTGAATCCTTTTCCACACAATGCGCCTAGGCCACTTCACATAGGAACAGATCTTACGAGCACAGCTATGGCCAATTTCCTTACAAATCCGCACACTTTTGCAACCGGACAAAAAGCATTTTGACTTAATAGTGCAATAGACATATGGGAGAAGCCAGGTGCAGGGAGAAATACCTAGTCTCGTCGATAACCCTGGGCCAAGCATGTGAAGGACTCTTCGCACCACCAAGTTGTTTGCATGAGCACAGGAGGTGGACAAAAAACACCAAGTCTTTGCCGTAAGTACAAAAAGGATACACAATAACTGATACGCTCCTGGGGTCAAATACCACGCATGTTTTCGCTCTTTATCATCTGGAACCACGGCAAGATGTTTAGCAGAAAAAGACATATCCTTTGTGTATTCAGAGTACTCACGTTGAGAAAGCTGGTTGCGACGTGCTTCTCGGCAATACGCCGTAGATCTCTCAAGAGTCACCTTGGCTGTGCTAGTCACACAAGCGCGCGAGGGCAAGGTGCAAACCGGTTTCATGGCGTCAACAGCAGCCTTGCAAATGGCCTCACACCTTTCAGTCTTGCTTGGTCGAACAAGGACATCCCAATTCTTTTCACTCTTCCTCATTTTCTTCCCCAGTAAAACCTCACGCTTGAAAGACGTCGATGTTTCAGATACCACACTTGTACTTGCGGACCGCGCGCAGCGCACGTGATTCCAAAGACCTTTGAAAGACATCGTTTTTCCAGTATGGATGCGAACTTGTGAGCGGATCCAGTGCTTTTCGCTAGTCGTCCAGGAAGAACAAGTATTAATGCATCGGAACACCACTGCCCGTAGCGCATCTCTGCATGTAGCATCAGGGGCTTTGGCATGAATGCGCCTTGCAGGAAGCTGTTTCCAAAACAAATACTGACGAAGGCGTTTTTCAAGAAGGGCTTTCTGAGCCTTTTTGTGTAGAAGAGATTTAAGTCCAGCAAGCTTTGGGGCCAGAAACTGTGTCTTGCACTTCTGCTCAACCATCTCCCAATCCACATGTCTCGCCGTGATGAGCCATTTCGCACAAAGCCGTCTATGCTCAGGCAGAAAAATGTCTAAAGGACCAGGAACACCAGTTAGCGCAAAGTTTGATCGCAATGTGTCCAAATACATACGGCTGAAAGGCACAGAAGTATCTTCAGTAGACTGACGCTCATCCAAGAGCATTCGCCGGTGAAAGGAAGCTGTTAACTTTTCTAACCGCAAAGATGTACAGTCCTGTTCAAACACTGATGTAACAACAGCTTTCTTCTCGCGCAGGTGCGGGCAGGGCCTTTGCCTTGGGACCCTTGACCGGTTTCTACCTTTTTTAGGGGGAACACCATTGGCATTAGGGCAGTGGGTCTTGATGTCAAACCATTCACAAGCACGAACCCTAGGCTCACTGTTGACCATAGTAACAAGAAAACAACACAAATCCAATGGATGTCTTCGCGCCAATCGGTAGCGGAGTTTTGCAGATTCAGAGTAATTTCGGCGCACCGTCAATAAAAGGTGTTCATGTAAACGCTTTGCAGGTCCAGCAGTGTTTGGGGCACTTGGTCTTTGTATCTGTGCAATTCCTGTATAACGAAAATGCTCACAAAACCACTGGTACATGCAAAAATCCGTACTACCTGTCGGAAAAATCGCCTGTCTCTGAAGGCTGAGGAAATCATGGGCCGTGTTTGTGCATGGGGGATGCGAGCTCACATGGAAGAGGTGTATGAAATCAGGTTTAAGCAGCCGAAGTACTTCAACCCCTCTCTTCGTAGATGCGTTCCTGAAAAGCCAGAGAATTGTTCTAGAGATACAGAAAAGACATAGCATAGCCTCGATATGTGGGCACACCCTTCGCGACTTCCCGTTCACTGGATAGGTCCACTGTATACAAAGTGAAAAAATCTCACATACGCGTTTCCAGTCATGGGCAACGGATTTCCGAGTTATCAGTGTGTCTGCCAACCTGGAAAAAACGCAATTGCAAAGCAAGCGGGTCAGATCATGGCATGTACTTTGAACATCCCTGTGCAACCTATGCTGACCAAATTCTTGGCCGAGCCATTTCCCACAAATGAGCAGCAGGAAGTCAACCGCATTGTGTGGCAGGGGCATAGAAGTCGTTAGCAGAAACAGCGCAGAGACAAATAAAATATGGAATAGTCAATACGGTAGCGTGAAGAGAATGAAGATGAATACGAAGATGAATACGAAGATGAATACGAAGATGAATACGATAATACGAAGATGACTACGAAGCGCTGAAATCCGAAGCTGGAGCACACGCGTGTCCGCCGGTCAAATCAGCGAAGATCACCAGGGTGAAAAGCCTGAAGTCTGAAGCACGCCTCTTTTCAAGCCGGGGGTGTGGAATGTCGCCAGGTGCGGGCAGGAGCGTACGTTTTTTAGCCCCGCTTGGTGCCGGCACTCCCATGGTCAAGTCAGACCAACCTGGCACAACCTTGATCAAAAATTCCGGAGAAAGTATACATGTATGTATATGTCAAATCTCAGCGCCTGATGAACGCTGACTGAATCAAAATGTGCAACTGTTCTGGCATTCAGTTTTATGAACTCAACAATCGCATTCAATACCAAGGTCAAAAATTCACTGACTCACATTCAGTGAGAGAAATGGTAATGAAAAGGAAGGCAAGATCCCTCGAGAGGAAAGAAATCGGCACAATAAACTCACACCACATGTTGACATGAAAGAAAGGCTCATCTTGGCAACGGGTGTTGCTTGTAACCCGGTCATTTCCAGCAAGCCACCAATCCCAGCAGTATCCCGGCTCAAAATGTAAAGTGCAGAGATGTATTCACATGCATCACTGATGGGCCAGGGAAGCAAAGATGTTTTGGATGCCAATGACAAGATTGAAGCGAACAGAAAACGGGTAGACACACTAAAGCATGGGCTAAACTATGAATCTAAATGAGGTTTCATGGAGTGTCCAATTGTAGGGATTGCATTATACCCCCATCTTATCTTGGTTAGAATCTCATAATTATACCACATTATAGCCATGAAACTAACCCCAACCCTGCACCTCATAATATTGTTGGTTATTCCCATGATATTCCCATTTTATCATGGTTGCAATCCCCCAAATTCTGACCATATACTTTTGATCATGATATTCCCATACTGTAATAACCATATCATTATCATGGTTATAATCACCATCACCATCACCATCATCATCATCATCATCATCATCATCATCGCACTTTGATCATCGATCCCAGGTGAGAGAACATTTCCCTGAGACCGCCCTGGAGCTCCAGGGCATTGCCAACGACTTTGAAGGCCATGGCTATCCGGTGACGTTCCAGCGGCTCGGCGATGATGAAAGTCCTCGTCCTCGACTGGGCATCCAAAAAATGGGGGAGACTGGTGAACCAGCCATTTTACATGGAACATCAATGAATATCTCAGATATATACTGGTTGGTGGTTTGGAACATTTTCTATTTTTCCATATATATTGGGAATGTCATCATCCCAACTGACTTTGATATTTTCAGAGGTGTTGAAACCACCAACCAGTATACTCGCCCCTCAAAGTAGATGGATCCGAATCTTGAGTTGCGCCATCTATGTCAAAAAAAAAATGGGGGATAGATGGCTCAACTCCCTTTAAAACAGGGCAGTTGAGCCATCTATGTCCCTAAAAATGACATATTTTTTGCAATCTTCTGCGCTGGTTTCCCCCCCATATTTTTTTCTCAACATCAAGCTGCTTTTTTGGGACATAGATGGCGCAACTCATTTTATACAATACAAATTTGTGCAATTCCCCCGTATATACAAGCAAAAATGATAGGAAATGTAGTAAACTTAGTTAACAATACCCTTATGTCCATCTACTGGAGTGGCAGTTGCGCCATCTACCTTTTCATTTTCAAGTAGGGCGATTTTTTCTTCAATTGGCGGACCTCGTTTTATGTTCAGCTAAAATAGCGCCGTTTTCTTTCTCAGCGCGCGGTGCCATCTTATGGGTATTTTGGTTTTTGAGTTGAGCCATCTACTTTGAGATATATACTGGTTGGTGGTTTGGAACATTTTCTATTTTTCCATATATATTGGGAATGTCATCATCCCAACTGACTTTGATATGTTCAGAGGTGTTGAAACCACCAACCAGGTGGTGACCCAAGATATGGCCAGGACAACCCTTGGGTGATCCAAAAAGGGGCCTTTGACTTTCAAGCCTGGCAGCCCCAAGAGATGCCAAACTCCAGGCTTTCAACTGTATTTTGTCCCTTCAATCAGTCTGTTGACCAAACTGTTGACCAAACTCGCAGATAGATTGAGACAGATTTTCATAGATATTCACTTTAGATTAACTTTATAGTTTTTTTTGCGGTTTGATCTCTCATGGATCAGCGATTCACCAGGTATTTATCGGCCTGGCTCTACTTCCACGAGCTGGCGCACACTGACGTGGTTGGGGCTGGTTTCGACAGTCGCGAGTGCACGGGCATTGTGGCGGAAACCACCAGGGGGAACCTGGTGCAGCTCGCGAATATGGATCCTTGCCATGTGAATGCATCAGTGGCCCTAGAAGATGCGCTAGATGTAGCTAGATGTAACTAAATAATATGGATATATATTGACTAATTATTAATTACAAGATGTCAGATTTTGCATGTTTTTTTGATGGTGATTTTTGTTGATGAATGTTGGTACAGTAATTATTCCGTACACTTGGAGCATACAGGTATGGCTGGAAAGACCCTGGACTTAAATGAGGTTGCTAGTGCTGCTGATGATAGGATTCATCGTGAACCACCATGTTGATTTCTGCAGGGCTTTAGGCATCTATGGGAAAATTGCTGACTCGTTTCCAGAAGCATTTAAATCCCTAAGAGAACTAGGAGGACTAATAGAAGCCGGACAGACTGACTGACGCCAAATACGCTTCGTTTGACGAGGACCAGAGCCCGTTGGCGGCAAGGAACCTCACATTGCGCATCCGCGTGATTGACAACACCAGCGCAGTACTCTTCGAAGGACTGAACCATGGTGGATGGGTCTCATGGCTCTCGTTGATTCGCAGCACTGGGTTCAAAATTCGCCCCAGAATCCAGTGAATCTATTGGTTTGTCTTCATTTTCCCACTATTTTATGGCCATCAACTGGAGGGGCCCATCCCATATTTCTGGAACCAACTGGTTACTCGCTTGCCCAGAATCCGGAGGAGTGGACTGGTACACCCTACTCTCCACTGGGGTGAGCCGGGCTGTGAAGCAAGGTGTCTTGGCAGTGTGGGCATTGGAAAAGAAAACATGAACCAATTGTTTTTACCCAAATTTATTTGGATGAATTATAGTGACCTCAGTGCGATGTCACTAGAATGATGATTAGCATTCAGGGAATCATCCCCAAATGGCTGCAAGTTTCAGCTATTGTCAGGTTGATGGATTGATTGTTACAACTCAAGCAGAAATTTATGGAATTGGTGGGGTTTCCTGTAAATGTTGTCTTCAACCTTTCTGGGATACGACGTCACAAAGGTAGACAAAAGTGTTTTGTTATTAAGTCAGACAATATCTAAATATATCTTACTAGTATATCTTTATACTGTAGTAGGTCTTAATATATATATATATCCTAATATATATAGTATATCCTAATTATATATATATATTTATTAATAAATTAGTATTTAATTAGTATATCAATATATTAATATATCTTAATATATATATATTAATATATCTTTAAGTTATACTATATCTTAATATATATGGATATATCATTTTTTGGTGTATCTTAAGAATATATCAATATACATTTACAATATGATGCAAATAGACACATCCACATTTTTTCGGCACTCGGTCCATGCAGATCCACAAGCCGCCGAGGTGTGGCATCAGTGCAGGAAAACTGGCGCAGCGGCAGCCGCAAATTGGAAGATGTGATGACAGACATTCAGCCTCTTGACATGTAAAAAAAATCACAGAAAACTACTAGTGTTGATAGTATCTGATAGATGTGAATTTCCCTGATAGTGAAAAAAACTTCAGAAAATCAAGATGTTTGAATAATCGGGAAATCATCGAAGATATGATCTACACATGGGTCATTTTTGGTCGCTAGGTTAAATTACTGTAGGGTAGCTGGGAGCGTTCAGTCTTACCGTGAGGAACCCATGAGCAAGGCCAGAAACCAGTCATTTTCGGTCAGAAAAAGGCGGTGACAATCATGAGTTGTGGCTGTGCCAATCAATGTCCTATGAATGTTTACAGTAGTGGGCAAGATGGGGTAAGAACATGCAAGAACTCTTTCCTCTGTGGTTAGTGTGTGAAGCTTTGTGTAATGGGGGCTGTTAACCGTGACCTGACCTTCGGGGAATGCCAGTGTGGCATTGGACCCAGAAAAAGGGTAGGTACGCCATATACCTATTCGTTGGGTGACTTTACAGACAGGTTTAGACCACTTCCGCAACAGACATGCGTCAACGTGTGTACAGAAAGATCGGAAGAGAATGTGTTGGGTTGGAAGGGTTGGAGTTTGAGCCATGGTCCACCAATGTTTTTTTGACTCACACGTTTTCCTTTCACACTTCGATGTCGCAGCACCGCAGCTGATCAAGGCAGCTGAGTCACAATCCCTTGAGGTGGACATCAATGACAAGTGGAATGCCCTCTGTACCGCTTCGAAGTGTTTCGAATAGATTTCCCTATGCTGGGAACAGAATAAGCTCGTCGAATCATCGAAGAAGTCCTTCTTGATTTCCATTTCGCCGCCATGGAACGTCGAAGGGATCCGTACGATGGCAAGACACAGACACTTCAGGAGATGGTGAAGAAGTACCAAGGTACCTACAGTAAATCTGAAGTGGAATCCTACTTCGAATTTGAATGCACGGCGGTCACGGCGGTTGCATCAGTTCCTGCATCTGCTCCAGCCCCCAAGGCTGCCAGCAATGAGATTGAGGGCTTACGTCACTGGCTTAAAGAGAAAGGCCGAGAAAGTCAGTTTGACCAAGTAAGTAGCTGGTGTGAGGAGAACGGAGCCGTTTTACTGGAAGAGGCGCGAATCCTTGGGTGTTTGGGTTGGCAACATTTGGCAACTCAAATGGTATATTGCAACAGATCTGTCAAAACAACTTGAGTTTGTAAGGATATAAGGATTTTTGAGTCATACAGTCATAGTATCATAGACAAAAGATTTGATCGTAAATGGCCATATATGGCCATATAGTTCTGTAGTATAGGTCATAGTTAAAACAGTGAAAACCGTAGTTACTATAGTTGATGGTTACTTCATTTGCCATTTTTTGGGAGTTCTTCCCTGTAGGTCCAAGAGAACTGGGACGACATCCTGCAAGAACTAAAAGATCTTCCGGCAAAGGCAGCAGAGATGCCCAGCATTGCCGGGCTCGAAGAATGGTTGGAGGAGATGGGCCTCGAGCAACATCTGGAAGATGTCTTGGAATGGTGTCAAGAAAACCAGGTGAAGCTTTTGAAGCACATTAAGGTGAGGAGTTTCGCCATGTTTCGCGAAAAACATGGCATTGTTGAATGACGTATAGGGGTTCTTCAGCTACACGGTGTTTATTTGGGGAGAGACATGACCCTGGGAAGCCCGCAATCACTTTACCAGTGTGCTATTGTCACAACTTTTTGAATTGCTCATATTGGGATGATCATCAATCCATTGCGGGCCATTGCGATTCGGCAACCCAAAAAGGATTTGCATTTTGGAATGGATGACAATTCCCAATATTACCATTTACAATTGACCATGGCACTTAAATGCACTTAACAGAAAAGGCAGCGGCAGCTGCCGGATTTGAAGCTGAGGTGAAATGGGAAGACATTCTTCAAGACCTGAAATTAAAAATTGCTAAGGCTGAACTGCCTGGCACGAAGGTCTCCGTTGAAGTGTTAGTTGGGCAACCTGGACTGGCTGAGGCAATGTGTTTGATCTGATTTTTGTTGGGAAAAACCCGTGGGTGAATCCCCTTCAAATGGCAGTTCTCTCGATGGGAAATCTATGGTCAATCCTGAAAATGGGGAACCCCAAAAAGGACATCTATGGTTCACCGATGGGGCCCATCCACGGGGATTTTTTTGTTCTCTGACACCCGACATGGCCGTGATGGCCGTGGCCCGCAAAGGAAATGGCAAGGGAGCTACATGGCCCATGTTTTGAACGTCACAGATGCTGGGATTCGCATTAAACACCTGGAGGATGATTTCGAGGAAACGCTGCCCTTGGATGCCCTGGGTGGTGGTAAATATTTGTTGAAACCCGTGGACTCGGATGAGGAGGAGGAAACTAGCCAGGCGGGGGAATGTCGATTCTGGATTGTACAGATCATCTTAGATCTACAAATATATAATAGATATAACTATGGACATCTAAGATCAGATCATTAAACATAAATAAATACATTTTTTCTGATCACTAACATAATTAACTATGGAAATCCATGGGTGTCCCATGGACATGCTCAGCTTGTGGGATGCACAGCTGTTGGAGGACCAGCTTGAAGGATGCAAAAAATGTATTCCTTTGTTATCAGCCACTGTTATGATAAGATCTGGCTAGTATCTTTAGATATATAATTTATATAATGATATGATATTTATATATATCATTAGATATATATATTTCTGATATACACTGTAATGATATATATATATATATATATGTATATGTATATTTGCTCGACATGCTTTTTCTAATTGACCTCTTAGTGTTGCACTTCAGTAGCGGCCCGATCTTGGTCGATAGCAAGGTCAAAGATTTGCTTTGGAAAGGATGCCTCTCTGTGGAGATTGGCTCCGGAGCGGGTCTGGAACTGCGCTGGGTAAAGCTTGGCTATGCTGTGGACCAGGTCAGCTGATTCTGTGTGGAATTTCACACATTTGCACACTGCAGCCCTTTTTGATTTGGCTTTGTTTCTGCGGTCAAAATGGCTTATACCCCGCATCGCGATTTTGAATGAGACAATGATGAACAATTTGATCGTTGGAATATTATGGAATACATTAAATATATTAAATATGGTTGACCAATCAGCAAAAACAATAAAAAATGAAGTAGGCAGAAAAGATGCGAAAAAAGTGAAACTGCCTATTGAGATTTCCTTTCAGGCTGTTTTTAAAATCTGTGACGTTCTTTTTGGTATCAACTTTCCACCGTCCAGTGCCATATTTTGTTGGGGAAGGAAGCCTTGTTTCGGCCATTCTTTTGTGGCGGGTCAGCTGCTTTTCACCGGTCACTTCTTCGTTGGTTTGCAGCAGCACTGACACTGTGGACAACCACTGGAGAAGTTGCAATCAGATCCAATGTTGGTACAAAAAGGGCCCCCCCACTCCCCCCCCCCAGTTGCACTCAATGGCCAGGTCAGCCCGAAACCAGGGCAGAAGGACTTGAGTCCTGGCGATGTAATTCTATGGATCAACGGGATGTTCCTCATTGGCTTCGATGAGGATACCGTCACAGATCGTTTCGCTGAAGCCTTCGCCAAGGGGGCACCTTTGGTGGTTGGAAAGCTGAGCACTTTGATGAAGCACGAGCTGCAGGATGTGGAAGAAGCAGTGAAGAAGCTGATTTGACCACATGTACTGCACAGAATTCTCTCGATCCTGTTGATCAATGCCGATCCATTTGTTCCATGTTGGCCCAGGAAGATTATCCTTGACAGCAGGGCCGTGTACAGTAGAGAAATGATTCAGTGAAAATGCCTGGATGTCATCGGACTGATCCCAGGCTTATTGTTTTTCCAAGGTTGGGCCTGGCGGATGGTTACAGTATGATCTTGCTAGGTGATATGTATATAGCTGTATCCACCCAATATGCATAAGTCCAGCGATTTTTACCACAACTGGACCTTGTTTTTGACCCCGGTGATTGGAGCTTCATCCCAGTTGTAAGATTACAAGAGCATCGCGATCCAACATCTCAAATTTCACCGATGTGAGCTAAATCCCGGCTTGTCTTTCATCCCATGGTTTAAAATATGTGACATTTTATACATGTTCTCGATTCAAGTGATCATTCCAAATGGAGTGTGGACCCAGTTCTATAAGGTTCGGTTCCAGTTCTAAGCGCATATAACCATGGATATAACCGCAGCTGACAGGGCCCACATAGCCCAGCAGGTGAACTCACTATGTAAAAAACGCCAACTGGCTGCACTCCTTATCTGCCGCAGCACTCTCCTTATCTAACATATCTAACATGGCTGGTTGATCGTTGAGATGACAGGATGGGTGGTGAAATTGCTGAAATCTCCCATGCTGTGCCTAGGTCAGGCGTCATCTCTCAGATGTTGGTCTTTCGTCGCGCTTTCGAATCCGCAGCGATTCGAAGCTTTGACGACTTCCTCCACAATGTCAGCACTACACGCCTGGCGGCACCGTTGCGTAGCGGCCAAGTGATGCACCAGGGTTGGTAGACTGGTAGACATCTGGGGATGTGTCAAAACCTATGAAATACATTGAAATGGAAGGGTACCGTTTGGTTTTGACTTGATTATACCCCTGTGAGTTCTATGGTTAGGTTGGAATAGTTGGTGGGTGGTTAAATATGCTATTTGCAGGTTGGCGCGAAGACATCAACTTCCAGAAATGTTAAGGAAAGTATCAAGGAGCGAGACTAATGTGTTCCCTGAAGGCGCGTTGCAGTCTGACAGACCTCAAAGTCACAAGACGCGGCCCAAACCCATGTGTTTTCAATGGTTTTCCAGATGGATTTCCATCTTACAACTCACATGTTTGATAGTTTTCGGACTTCAACCATCATTTCCGGTGTTTTTCTTGGAGATCCACCCATATTTAGAGATGGGTTTGTTTTTATTTGATACCCTAATATCCATTGGATACAAACTTCAACTGTCCCCCATAACAAAAAGAAAGAATATGCCACTGAACGGGTACTTTGGTGTGCTTCCCAGTTAGTGGAGAATCATCCAATTTGAACCCAGTTCTATATATATATAGATGGAATATATATATATATGAATATATGTATATTCCAATTTCTAGGGTGATGACTGAAGTTATAACATGCTATAAGCCACTGGGATGCACATCCCGAGGTTCTACATCGTGGCGGCCGGCCCGAAAGCGCCTCAGGGCGTGGCCGTGGCGCGCAACCTCTTGGCCTCAGACGGCACGGACTGGCTGCCGAAGGATGAAGCTTGGCACAGAGCTGGTGGTTAAATGGGGATGGGTCAAAACCCTGGTACCTGGTGAACCCCAAAACCCCAAGTCATAGCTGGGATGCAAATGGATGTGAATAACCCACTATAGTAATGGTATCTATAGGTATTGACCCATACCCAAATGGGATTAATTGGGGATTTACCCTCCAACCAACAGTTTAAGCTATTGAAAATTGCAATCGAAATTTAGTTGATTTACCGAACTTCATCATGTGTGATTTTCCATAGTTTACCAATGTTTACCAGAGGGTAACATGATTGATAGCAACTCCAAAAAGGATGGAAAATGCAAAATCCTGCTAAAACAAGTGTCTAGAATGAGGAGATAGTCAAGATATAGCAAGTATGTTAAATCAATGACGTGGTTTGTATGTCAATTGATTTGACTACTGTCAACCTTCAAAACTGGTGATATCAATTGATAAAATGAGAATATCTGGGAAAAAAACGCCTCGGAGGGTCTGCGGCGCCTCCAGTGCATTTTTTTTTTGCTGAGGCATTTCTAGTTTTCTGAGGCGTTTTTTTGTTGTCATCCTCGTTTTTCCTTTTTCTCGGTTCTGGATTGTTCTAGGATGGCTAAATGACAGCGGTAATTGCTTTCATTTCAATGCCTGCTAACGCAAAGCCTTAGTAAAACCAATTTCAAATTTCAATAGTGTGACAACACCCAAAACTGGGCTCATGGCTTCTGCGTGGCTGAATCTGTCAGTGAGACTGTCATTGCCCCACAAAATGCTGTCTCACTGGAATTGGTTTGTTGCAGTCTCGCACTTGCGGCATCTGTCCAAAAGGCAACGGAAGTGAATACAATAAAATACATCAAAAGAAAAGAACAAAGGTAAACCAGGTAAAACAGAAAAAATCAGAGGACAGAAAACGGCGGAAAAGGGCGGGAAAACGGCGGAAAAGGACGGACTCTGAAAATTGAGGTCAAAACCTTGCCGGAAACATGCCCAAAAGATTCCAAAAGGTTTCATGGCAGATTTTGCAATTCTTCTAACCTTTATATATTCCAATCGTGAAACTTTGTTGAAAGCTCCAATCCAAGTCACTCAATGTCGATGAAAGCCAATACTTGAAATGTGCAACTATGAAAAAAATATTCTATACCCCATAGGATCCATGTATGGTATATATGCTAACATTTTGTGTATATTGATGGTAAATGTTACCACAAAAAAGCATACATGGATCCTATGGGTACTATGAAGGGTGTTTCTGCATTGTCTTTCTTGCAGCATGTCTTACATAGGGAAATCCCTAGCAGCATGTTTGGCTGTTTGTCAGGGGGTTGGTCCCTAGTTGTGGGCCAACTGCAACTGCAAACGTGGCCATGGGGAGTCCAAGTGCTTTGGCAAACTCTTGTGTTTGAGGCGTTTTTTTACTTTGCTGCGGCTCTTTTACCCACCAGAGGCAAAACAAAACTCATGCGGCGTTATTTTCTGCCTCAGGGGCCTAAGGCGGTTTTTGTTCGCCTCTGGTGTTTCTAGGTATGTGCTTAGTGGTAGCACGTTTTATGAGAGATTTTCTGGTGTAGATTTTGTGATGTGGTGTATACCTGATCCTAGAAACTTCTGCTCGACCTTGATTCTTGCTCGTTTCAATGTTTTTTTGCTCTGTTGAGGGAAAACTGCCCGAGTTTGCACGTTTGGTTTCAGCTCTTTTGGATTCTTTTGGCATATTGTCCAGGCTCCTGCCAAGAATTGTTGTTTGCGCACGTTTGACAGTTTTTGCGCTCGTTTGATGGGTTTTTGCGTCCGTTTTGCGTACGATTTTTGTACAAATGTTGGCGCCAAAAGGCCGGTTGTGTTTTTTTCTGATCATTTTGCACGAGTTGTCCCGACAATGAAAAGTGCTACGAATCATCAAAAAGTGCTACAACAGCCAATTGAGCATTTATTTGTGTAACGAATGAAGGTCCAGGTATGTTATGATGGGGTTTATGTTTATAGATGTTAATGTCAACCCGGGTTGATTGATTCCGGGGGCTTCCAAGACATGATTTCATCTATTATATCAAATTTGGTTTTTGCTGTAGCGATACCAGGGGTGAAACTCAGTCCTTGGCAAGACCGGCGTTATTTGAGATTGACGCACGGTTTGTGGTCTGTGTATTTTACGGAAAATCCCCGCTGCACTGAGGACTTCTATCTTTGCCAGTGCAACACTGACAGGCTTGGAGACTTTGCTTCACGCAATGCTATTGTGAACTACCTTTGGGCAGTCAAACTTGGCGATAGGACATTTCCGCACTAAATGGAGGTTTCATAGTTGGGAAAATACCCTCTGGTAAACTAACAGTTTGCTATTGAACATGGCCCAGTCGAAATAGTGAGTTTTCCCATTAAAAATGGTGGATCTTTCCATAGTTTTTTGTAAACGTTTATCAGGCCGGGTAAATGAAGCTCATCCATGAGGAATTGTCCAGCAAGCGGCATCTCCTGGCTGCGCAGCTGACAAGATCCATTGATTCAATATAAATCTTGATCACCCCAAGGTGACCCATCGAAAAATTGGGATCCAAATTGCTATAATCACTGTTGGTTACCATCACTGTTGGTTACCATGGTTACCAAATACTGTTGGATCCAAATTACCAGGCCTAATTACCAAATTGGGTTACCATGTATTTCAATAATATATTTCGTTGATTTTCATGGTATTTTCATGCTATTTCCCCATCTTTCCCCCTCAAAAAACTGTACTTTGACCAGGTGGCTGCCGGACGACGTGGAGGACCCCCGGCGCACGGCGGCCGAGACGCTGCTGCGGCGCTTGGGGAAGGAGGAGCCACCCACCATGACGGGTACCTTGGACCCCCATAATTGGTCAGTTTAATGAGGAAAATTACCCTCTGGTAATCAAACATGGCAATGGAAAAACCACCATTTATAGATGATTTTCCCATTTGAACACCATTAGAGTTTTTTTCGAGTGCCACATTTGATTACCGGAGGGTAGAGGGTTTGAATGGGCATTTTCACAGATAATATAAAGGATTAATCAATATTAACTATGGGCACAATTCATTATGATCAGCCCTACCCCCAAATATGGTACAGTAGCCATTAGTCATTAATGAGGAAAATTGGGGATTCTTGGGTATCATATTTTCAGACAAAACAAAATGAGGGTTTTAATGGAAGATATACAGATATACTGTTGATAGTTGATTTTCCTAGCTAATTCTAAACCTCCATGAGCCAAGAAGTCCTGGATCAGCCATTGAATATGGGAATTCATTGGATGATAGTCATGATGGGATATAGGATGATGTAGGATATATTCAGCCAATATATATATATAGGATGATGTAGGATATATTCAGCCATATACGGAACAAGTTCGGACAACTTGCATTTGAAGATGAGGAGATATTTGGCGTTTGATGGGAAATAACACTAATATATTGTCCAAGTCCGGTCCAAGATGATCACACACAAAAATGAGATGGTTGTAAAAACATTACATTATATGATGAAAGGAATGATTGATGTGATACAGTTTAATGATATGTAATGATAACTGATAACTATATTTATGAGGATGTTCATTATTTCCCAGTTGGGAAATAATGCATTACATTTCATTACCCAGTTGAACCGGCAGGATATAACGATATAACGGACATATTTCATTACAGATTGGACTAGCTATATATATATAATTATATAATTAGTTTTTTGGATAGTATACTTATTACCCAATGATTATATATATAATTATATATATATATGAAGTCATAGTTGGGTAATGGTTCCTGTATGAGGAATGGCAGGTCACCCAGCACAGTGGTGATCCTGGAGAAAGGAAGTTGAACTGAGGGAAAAAGTCTAGGTTGTGAACTTGAAGTGAATCTGACATGGCAAGCATGCTTTGAAAGTTGTACTGCTCTTAATAGTGCGTGGATGTGCAGGCCCCGGTTAGTAAGTTGCTAAGCCTGATATATATATATATATATTGATATATTACCCCATACATCCCCATAGAGAACCATATAATTATATATATATATACTGGTTGGTGGTTTGGAACATTTTTTATTTTCCATAATATATATGGGATAATCCTTCCCATTGACTAATATTTTTCAGAGGGGTTGAAACCACCAACCAGTATAGTTGGGGTACAGTAGCATCACATTTTATTAGCCACTTGCCAGGGGCCGTGTTGCTTGGCTGGTGACGTCTCACTAGGTCTCTTTGCTGTGGTCTCGGCCTATCCTGTCCACAATCCGCACACGGCGTACACCGCGGTGATGTCTGCAGCAACAGGACGCGACAAAAGCTGGAGGATCTGAAAATATGGTGCCTAAGCCAAAATTAATCAACATCAAGAGAAATTCAAGAGAAATTCCATATTGACTTAGGTTTTTTTTCTCATAACTTGATCTGGTTGGTGGTTTGGAACATGGCTTTTATGACTTTCCATTCAGTTGGGAATGTCATCATCCCAACTGACTTTCACTCCATCATTTTTCAGAGGGGTAGGGCTCAACCACCAACCAGGTATGATATCCATGGATACAACTGAAGTAACTTTCGGTAGTCAAGCGTTGCAATGGGACTGGGAAAATATGGGAAAATCATCAATGGTGGATTGCCACGCTTGACCACCAGAGAGTAAGTGATATTAAGTGATACCCAGCCTGGTTATGACATTCACAGTTCGCCATGGTAGAGCCAGGTTTACCGGTTTACCGTTCTTAATAGCGTTTTGTGATTTTCCATGACTATGTTAGTCATAACCAGATGGTAATATTCATTCTCATCAATGGGGGATTGGGGATAAGGGGATGATTCTGCATAGCTTGTAGCGTCACCAAAAACGGTGACCTTACTGGAACAAAAACATCAACCTGGGGAATCATCCCCAAATGGTCAAACTTTTTTTAGGTTGGTGAATTTCTGGTGAATTACTTGAAATTATTCAGCTATAATATGAGTATGTCTGAAAATGGGGAACGCCCCCAAAAACTGCCATTTGAATACGGAAAATGATGTAGCTAACCATCAGCATTTTGGTAGCTAAAATTTGCAGAGGCTCAAATCTAATACATGTTGGCAACTATGCACATAAAACTAGTTGGCACAGATTCCATTTTTTTTTTGCAAACACATCCTTTGCTTCATGTGATCTCCTGAGATGTCCTGACACCAACTCACGGATCCTCGTTGGATCCCTGATGTTTTTCAAGCGACCGGAAAAGATGCGAAGCGCCTCAAATGATGCTGGTATTTTTAAGTTCCCCCATATCCCATAGGATCCATGGTGCTGCTATATATGGTAACATGGATCCCATCAATATACCCCCTTTATGTTACCATATATACCAGCACCATGGATCCTATGGGTATGATAATAGGAATTGGGGATGGGATTAATGAATGGTTCATGGCATTGTTAATTGGATTATATTGGATTAATGGATCTCTATCTTTTTGCCAACTTGTTGTTGGCAGGAGAATTTCATGCGTATGTCCGCGAAGCGAGCTGCCCCGTGGACCCTTATGCGAGTGTGGTGCTTGACAGGCCATGGATCCTTTTTGCGACTCAATCCATGGAACTTGGGTGGTCTCTCCCTGTCTCCCCCATTTTTTTTAACCAACCCCATTTAAGAAGCTCCTACTGGTTCCACAAGTGATTGGACTGTACACCTTGACATGCTTTGAATGGATGATTGATGTTAAGAGCAGGTGATCCGCCTCTTGCTGTTGCTATAGGCGTTATTTGCAGAACAATCAACAAGACCTTCCTTTCAAGAAAGTTGAGATGTACCAATATTGGAACATACCCTGACACGAACATGCTACGAAGAATTGGGAATATGACAAATTAATGTCTGGCTGCCGCTTGAGTATTTAGTATCCTCACAATTCTTGTCTAAAGCACAGTTTGGCCGAGAGAGACGGAATTCTAAAACATCGATCATCGTCCAATGGCATGATTTTCTTGATGCAAAGTAAACTTGCATGGCAGCTGAATCTGTCAGATAGCCTCCTGACTTTTTTTTGCACCAGGCGATATTGCCTCAAAAACCCGCAGAACGCTGTGAGCAGTGTGTAGTCGGTGCATGTCCGAGCTTCATCTCTTTTGCAGTGTACAGAAGACCGAAAAGCCACCAGGTTGATAAGGTTTTATTGTGTTGCGATGTGGCGACAAAAAAGGCGCGTGGAGCGCCGGTGCAAGACCTGTCACAACTTCTGTACGTCTTGCTGTGCTGGTCTTGTAGCTATTAACTCTCTGTGGCAACTGTGACTTGTGTTGTAATACCATCTCCCAAGCAAACAAACTGACATAGACCCTGAGGCAAATTCCCACCCCCTGTTTGGCAGGGTCTACAGGAGTAGTATCCCAACGATATTTTATAAATAAAATCCCTTGATAGAATCCAATTTTTTGCGAATGAAATGCCCTATTTCCAGTTGGTCAAATCCACAAGTTAGCACCTTACATCCCTCCACTTTTTAGGATACGGGAAAACCCTCACCTCCATATCCAGGGACGAGGAAGATCGCGGACCACATGAGGCCTGGTTTAAAGCGTCATTTTCCCTATTAAAGCATATTAAAGCATCCATTTTAGGGGTATAGTATATATATATATACCTTGAGAACCAAAACCCGCAGAAATCTTAGGGTTTGAAAAATACCTGAGCTTTTCTGACAAAACCCAGGGTATTTTAACCCATTCTGAAAGTACGGGTTAGGTACGGGTTAGGTACGGGTTAGTACGGGTTAAGTACGGGTTAGGTACGGGTTAGGTACGGGCCGGGTTAAGTACGGGTTCAAAATCAATACCCGAGGTCTTCAATCGAAAACCGAGGTTTTCTTTTTTTTCCGAAATACCTCAGGTTCTTGTGTTGACCCGAAGAATTCTTAGGGTTTTGGTTCTCCAGATATATATATATATATCTACCCATATCTAGAATATAATGTTATTTTATGTTATTGATTATAAATAAATCTATATAATATAATATTAAGCAGTATTTTCCGCGACGCTGTCCTGCATTTTTGGTGGGATTAAACTATAAACATACCTGGGAACCCAAACGTCAATTTTTTGGTCGCATATATTGCATATATGCCGTATTACTAGTACCTGGTAAACCGTAGGTATGCAACATTTTAGTCATTTGACGAAAAACAGTGTTTGTTCAAGCAACGCCTTTTTAATATTTTTGGTGGACAACTGCGCACAAATTACGTTTTTCATCGTTTTTCTATTTTTTCAGAAATTTATTGGAATTGTGTTATATGCGCATTAAACTTGCACCCTGTAGGTATACCAGGGTTCATTGTGCAAACAAACCTGGGTTGAAGGGGCATTTGCCACTTGCGAACCTGATTGAATTCCATAAATTACCCACGGGACTCCTGTTACTGCAACAATCCGTTTTAGGCCCCAAAGACTGTTCAAAACACTGGCGGAAATTTGCGAAAGCGGAAAAATGGCGGAAATTTCCGGAAATTCCCTGCTATAGTATTGTTTGATATTTTTTGCTTGTATTAAGGGCCATTTTTGACTGTGAGAGTTCATGTTTTTATGGAATTGAAGTTGGTTGGCCAAGGGATCAGCACGGGCCGCCACAACATTGAAAACCTATAGGATTACCTTTTTCACTCGACATTTTTGGCCTGGAAATGACGTTTTTTGAAAATCAGCCCATGCCTAAAATTTTGCATAGTTGTGTTTCTAGGGAATGGCATGATTACTATAGAGTGGAATTTTCAACTTCATAGTTTTCCCCTCAATGGCTGAACAAAATCATCAACAGTTCGTATGTGCCTGTTTCATCTTGATTGAAAATAGGTAGCATTTGATGGACAAAACATGTCAATTTGATCGACTTTGGGCCAAAGTTGGCCCCACGACACACTCAGCCCGACAATTCGCAAGAAAAATGCCAAATAATATACCAATAGAATCATTTTTTTTCGACTTCACGTGCGTTAAGAGGCTGTATTTGGGTTCGTCAGATCAGGCCTTTCAAACCAACAAAACCGGACGGAAACACGTGTCAACGACGATGGAACAAAAAAAATGGCTCTTGGTTTCCCAGGTAAACAAAATCGATGAATGAAGCATGTTTCTTGCCAAAGCCGTGACCCATAGGATCCATGGTGCTGCTATATATGGTGTGCCATGGATCCCATCAATATTAACCCCCTTTATGTTACCATATATAGCAGCACCATGGAGCATATGAGATGTTTCATCAACTTTTGGACCAAAATCCATCTGAGGCCAACTTCTTCGAGGTTTACGAGATCGGTGACTTGCTGGGCAGTGGCTCGTTTGGACAGGTGGGGATCCCTGGATCCCGACGCCATGGGTTGCCATTTTTAGCTTCCTCAATGGGGGGATCGGAGGTGGCAATTTCTGGTTGGTTTTTAACCAAATTCCCAAGATTTCCCAAGTGCCAAGTGCGGTTTGATTGGTGAAAATGGTGAAAATATCTGCTGAATGTGGGAAAACGATGGTTTCTCTCGGGATAATCATCTGCCATTTTGAGACACCAGTCCGCTGTGTCAGGTTCGCAAGTGCTGGCCACTTCACGAGCCTGCAACGAAGTATGCTGTCAAGGTGAGCCGAAAATAGGAGGATGGGACATGTATATGGACATGTGACTTTGATATTTGGATATGGTAATATGTTTGGCTGAATTATGCCACATGTTTCCTAAAATGGGGATCCCCAGGCCACCATGCGTTCGAAAAGAAAATATGTTCAAGTTGGGAAGTCCCTATTTTAGGAAACCTTCATATATGATAGATCATTATAACTACAATGTGATATTTAATCGGATATTGAATGCTAGATTTTTTCAGTGGAATATAAATGAATAAAATATATGTAGTATATCAAAGCCAACTTGATATGATGCCTATTGGGAGGGATTGTAGGAAACAATGGGGATGCAATGGGGGATTACATTAAGAACTTGACGAGGATACAATGGGAAATACCCAATCATCCCAATCGATGTCTTTTTTATTGGGAAAATGATGATAAATCATGATAAACCAGTGGAACTTGGGGCAACCTTTTTTAAACAAACTCATGTGCCCAAAATGATTGACTCGAATAGGCCACGGTTTTCGGTTCCTGAGGCCATCGACACCAAAAGTGAGGCCTGCTGCTGTACTCAACATACTCAATTTTCGCAGGAAGTCTTGTTCATGTTCTTCTTGGGATGTGATACTTTGTCTATCTTTGTCTATCTTAGCTTTGTCTTGGGCTGCAGTGGCTGCAGGTGTTTGAAGTGGCGGGAGCTTGGCTTTCAGCACGGAAGGAAGTGTGTTTCTGAGACACCGAGCTGATTCTGAAAAATCAGACAAGGCCGTGCACCACATAACACTTCTCAAATAGATATAGCATTTTTTACATTTTTATAACATATTAATTAACATGATATAACTACATGAGTTCAACTTGTTCAACGATTCTGGATTTTGGATGATTTTGGGGCTTCACAGATTCTACAGATTCTACAGGCCAAATCAGAGATTTTTGTTGACCTTTTGAGGCCAACATTCTCCAGGCGAAGTGGTTGGGGTGTTCATGTTCCCAACCAAAAATGGGGAGCCAGTTTTCAGCTACGAATGGAGTTTCCCAACTGACCAGTGATTGACCAGTTTAAGGGCGAGACTTCGTTTTCAGAGAAACTCCTGTGTTTGCTGATGTGTTTTTTTGGTTACTGTATTTTCACAGCTTTACAACGCTGCGTGCTTTGGATTCTTCAGCCTTTTCGCAGCCTGCTGGACCGTCGCAGTCGATCTCACATCCTTACATCGTGAAGTTGATCGAAGTCTTTGAGAAGGACCGGCGCAGATGGCATTCCGATGGCTTGGGATGAAGAAGATCTGAATAACTTGGAGTCCTTAAAGCATCATAAAGCATCAAAAGATGTTGAGACCCAAATAAACTATTTAATATATTAAATAAACCCCACATATGTGCTTTCTAGAAAGCGACTCTTTCCTTTTTTTGGTGCGGAGATTTCTCATGTTTTTTTCCCAGGCCATGGTTGTTTCCTGATCTGCCTGCAGGAAAGATGGCTGTTCTTGGTGATGGATCTCATCGTGGGTGGGCAACTTTTCCAGGCGAAGCTGATAGGAATTGACCAACTGCCCTGTTTTCACCATGGAGTGAACTGCCACAAAAAACAGCCACATAGCTATGATCTACACAATTATGCCATGGCAAGTCCATGGCCTATATTTCTATTTAATTAGTCTGTTTGTAGATGATTTACCATGATTTACCTACGAAAAATGGTGACAATCCAGTTTGCAAACTAGTCATTACCAGCTGGTTTCTCGGTGGGATCCTGGGAATCCACCTCCCTCGACGCATCCAAGGCCTTGGCCAATCCACGTATCGCCGGGCGCCCGGCGATACGTGGGGCACAGCCCAAGGGATTCCCAGGGGTTTTAAGCATGTTCCCTGTGAGAAGTACCAAAAAAACACTTAGTGATAGAGAAAAACATAGAAAAATAATGAAAAATCTATTTTGGACTCACCCAACATCTAATATGCTTGGGAAAAAAGATTCCATTAAATTTTTCCATACCACATCCCATCATAAAAAATCCCTGCTATATCCGCATGAAATATCCCATGTGATTGGATGAATCATATCCCATAAAATATTCCCAATGTAAAATGTTTGGTTAAATGCCACTTGATGATTTACCTATCCAAAAAACCCATGGGAAATTCCAAGGCGCTAGACTCTGAGTCGGTCCCTGGACACATGGCCATTTGAATTAACTAAGTACACTAAAAATGACTGACTTGGGACTTTGACCCAATCTTTATTGCAATTTTATAAAGGTCTAGCTATAGCTCTTAGGGTGGTTTTTCTTGGGACTTCGTGAATTTTACACCCAGATGATGTCGGTATCCAACCACCGAGGCCGTGACCGAAGGCTGTTGCGCACTCATTGGAAGTCAACTGCTGCAGGTGGACTCGACGGACTGGAGAGAAAGAACTCGCCTAAGATGTTGTGAAACAAGCTTCGGAAGAAATATATGGGTATATATCTATATATATATAT